TCCTTTTCTAGGTCTGCTCGTACACCGTGTGCACCAACAATGCAGCCCAGTGTAGGTATCTCAGGGACCCCTATTACGCATTTTTTTAAGCTAACATCGTGAAAGTAGTGGGGCGCGTAGGCACGGTGCTGACGCATCACGTAAGCCACCACTCGGTTAAATGTTTCCGGCGCATTTTTCGACCCTTGTGGCATCACAAGCTACTCCCACAGCATACCGCTTGGGTTGCTTACTGCCGTTTTGGCTACATCGGTATCTCTCATGAGAACCTAATAGTAGCCATCCTTCAGATCCAACGCGGAAAAGATAGTTGACTTTCCCATGAAATTCAACAAAACATCTTTCCGTGGGATCGGCATTTGAGCCGGAATGGTGGCCGTGTTCAGCTTATTATAAGCATTAACCACGCGCCATCCACCCGTTGCTTTACGCACACAGAAGGTCGGGCTGCAGTGAGGCGACTTGCTCTCACGTACATGTCCCGCCTTGGCTCGCTTGTCGAAGAACTCATCGATGTAATTGTGGTGGAGTGGACTCTTAAACAACGTAGGAGATCCACAAACACACACAGCGCCGGACTGGCGATTTACGGAGGGGGTACCCCGATACCGTGTCGCGTCAACCTTCGGTCTCACCTTGTGTACCCGTCGGCTTGGCTGGTCTTGCTCCTCGGTTGACGCAGAAGACTTAAAGACTTGGTCTTTGTATAGGACTTGGACTTGGTGGTCCCCGAGTGGATATACTTCACTTGGGACCGGGTTTCTTGGGCTCAATCGACTTAGTCGAGAGCGATGCACCTGGTACTATGTACTCCTTTGGTGGCTGACTGTTCTTGGTCCTTGGACCCCTTTGTGTTCTTCCCCGTAGGGAAACCGCTTCCTGTAGCGGGTCGTAGAGTGTTGACACCTCAGGCCAACTATCCTGAGGTTTTGACCGTCTAACCTGCTGACGTCGGGGGGCCATAGGGTATCCCGCCCGGAAGAGGTTAAGCGACGTAGAAGCTTAGAAGGGGCGCTTAAAGCTGCCACGTGTAATGCAAATTCGAGTGTGTTTATTTATCTTATTCTCTGTATGCTTTTCTTGCCAAACCCTAACCCTTCGCTCTGGATGGTACCACGTGTCAACTTGTGGACGAACAACTGGCTCTTTTGGGACATGGGTCTTGTACCGGCTCTGCACTTTAAGGAAGCATTGTACCTTCTATTACCTGGGGTCCACCGGTCACCTGGGTCCACCGGTCACCTGAGGTCCACCGGTCACCTGGGTCCACCGGTCACCTGAGGTCAACCTATCACCTGGGGTCCACCTGTTGTCTGGGGTCCACCTGTCGTCTGGGGTCCACCAGTCGCCTGGGGTCCACTGGTCACCTGGGTACACCGGTCACCTGGGTCAACCTGTCACCTGGGGTCCACCGGTCACCTGGGTCCACCGTTGTCTGGAATCCACCTGTTACCTGGGGTCAACCTAAGCTGCCCTAGCAGCACTGGTCCTTTGGTCTGTAGTGTAGGACATCCTAGTACCTTCTACGAACTCGGGACCTTGGACCAGTTCGGGGCCCTGGTCACTCCCTGTCACTCATTCAAGAGAGTGACCGAGATCTTTCACGCCAGTTATTATAATAACTACGAAGGGCCCCCCATTTCTCTGGCACTTCTCCACATAATCGACTTGTTCCTTCGGCAACGGCCATTGCCTGGTCACACAATACTTGGTGCCAGGCTCCAGGTCAATCTCGTGTCTGATGCTCCTATCGGCCGGTAGGCGGCTCGGCACTTCTGCTAGAAACACATCACGGTGTTTCCACAGAACATCATGGAACAGGCTGTCCTTCAAGACATTCCAGCCTTTAGCAGCGAACCGTTTCTTTGTGTCAGTATTTAAGACGCTCTCATCCATTGTGGATGAAGAGCAACAGTCCACCACGTTCTCTTCTGGAACTGGTGCGACTATCTCGTGGATCTTTCCTTCCTTTCGCTCGGACAGGAACATATCCCACGTCATCTCCGAGAGATTTACTATTTCCTCGGCAGATGCCAAGACAAGTTGGAGCACCTCAACTGAGGAAGCCTCCAGTATTTTGTCTTCGACGGCCTCGAACAACTCGTTCGTAGGTCCGTCCTCTTGGACCGAGACTGATCCAAGGGTCACTCGTTTCGACGTGCCCTTGATCGTCTTAATACTTCTGGTGCTCGTTGCATGAGTCACCACGACCTTTGACCTGGAGCGTAGAGTTAGCGAATGTGCGTGTACGCTAGTCTATCCATGGTTAGTATTTAACCAACCAAGGCATGCCTAGGATGAGGTCATACGGACTCTCCATACCTAGCAGTGTGAGCTTCTCTTTACAAGAGAAGTCACTGAAACTGAAGGCGAGTTCAACTTGAACTCCCTCCGATTTGACGAGCGCGCCGTTCGCTAGACGAACGATCGCTTCTTCTCGCTTGCCATCCTGGCAAAGCGACTCATAACTCGCCGGGCTCTTTTTTAGAGCCGCGAGTTTCACAAAGTTTTGTGATGCACCCGAATCCACGAGAAGGGTCATCACTTGGTCATAGCCTCGTACTCGAGCGCTATAGACCAAAAGGGTTGAGGTCCGACCTTTCGGACCCTCAGGGACTATGCTACCCATTTGTTCGATCGCTCTGAACTTAGGGGTAGCTTTAGAGTCCTCGAAAGTAGTTAATCCCGCCCCTAATGCGCTCCCGCATTTCCCGACTTGTCGGGGGTCGTGTGATATAGTGATTATTAGAAGCAGCTTTTGGTATGACTAATAATATAAAAACACCAATTCGCCGAATCTGAACCCGTGCGACGTGCACGGTTCTTCGAACCACCCTTCGGGTTAGGAGACTTCTTGCTGGCTGCCTTAGCACCAGCAGCAAATTTGGCATAGCAGCGAGTCATCATATGGCCTCGCTTGCCGCACTTGTAGCAGACCGCGTCTACATTGCCTAACTCCGTTAGAGTGTCATGCGACTTTCGGCCGACGGCCTGTAATAGGCTGTCGCCGAGGCACTGTGGTAAGATTGCTCCTCAACCATGTCAATTTCAATTGCCTCCTCCATCGTCTTTGGCACCTTTCTAAAACGGGCCTGGCGCGATGGGCCTTGCCGTAGTCCGTTCATGAACGTAGGTACCATAATGTGTTCAGGTATCGGACCCACATTACTTTTGCCGACAGCGAACGCATCTCCTGCATCAATGCTTGCAGAGAGCGTTTCGCCTGTCGTGCTCCAAAACGCGCCTGAAGTAACACTTCATTGTTAGGCGGCTGGTACATGGCACGAATCTTTGACTTAAAGATCTTCCATGATGAGAATTCATCGGCATTTGCCATAAGCGCAGAGTAAGCCCACTCTGACGCTTTTCCACGCAAATTTGACATGGTATAAGACTACATTGTGTTGTCGTCTTCGATGAGCTGCGCCACTCCACATTGCTCCACTGCTAATAGCCAGTGAACAATCGTGTGAGGGGTAGCTCCATCGAACTTCGGAGGGTCCATCCGAATGGGCCTCGGTTGAGCAGGCCGGGCAGAGAGCGTCTCAACAGTTCTGTTGAGCGCCTCATTACGTGCCTGCTCAAGCCTAAGCTCATCCTGAGTCTTAGTGATGGACTCAGCGGTGGCTTGGCTGTTTACCTCGGACGCGTTTCTACGCTGTCCGAGCACAAACGCCTCAAATTGCTCCAACTGAGAAACATGTTGCTCAGGAGGACAATGCAAGAGATTGACCAGGGCTTGTTCACCAAGTCCCTGCGCCATATGCTCTGCCAACTCCCTATGATGTTGGGAGAGGTGAGGGAAGTCACTCCAGTCCATATTAAGGACCATGTCAACCACACGCACGCTCAGAGAGACGAGTACTACTAGTGCTACCAAGTGTAGACGGGCACTTCGTAATGAAGCTGCCACGTACTACGCGGGAACACCTTCAAGCAGCGCGAGGAAGCGGTTAAATCGTCTTACCTCCGCGTGCGGTGGTGGTTGCGTTAGTCGGCCGCTTAAAGCGCCGACCCAAACTGTTGCCGGCAGTCCGCGCAACGAACATATAAGAAGTGCCTCACTTACGTCACGCAGAAGCTTATCAAGATTCTCTTGCGCAGTGGGCGGTATGTAGTAAATTCAAGACTGACTATATTTAATGATTATAACTAAACATAAACTTAACTACTAATTGGCTAATTATGCAAAGATTGGATACGCGTCTCTTTAGAAGCGTATCCTTACGTGCGAGCTTAAAATATATTTAAGCTCGCTGATGGCGTCTGTTTGAAGCGTCACCATGACGCCCAGTTCCAACTGGCGTCATCCTCGTTGAATGTGAATCCATCCATGGATATCACATTCACGAGGGTGGGTCACATTGATGTGCCACACCCAAGTGGCAGGCCTAAGTAAGGTCCATTTAGGCCTGCTTCGAGGACTAGGAATACCTAGTACTTAAAGTAGAGGTCGCCACGGTAACTCTGTTACCTGTTGACAGGATATACTGGGTCGTATGCAGCGCACTTAGATATACCTTACCTTCTTACTCACTTACTAAAACCAATTTGGTTTTGATACTCAAGACTTTCTAAGCTGGTGGCCTTTCGCAAAGCGTGATACCACAATGCAGAGATCAGCTGAGTGGATGATGCTGGCCGTTGGGACAGCATCATCCACTCAGCGCACTAAGCACCAAGTTTTGGCTAAACTGACGTTCAAGATTCTACCAGAGAGCAAAACAACAGCAATAGTCGACATGTCTGCTATAAATTGAGAAACACTAAGCCAAACTCGCATTTATTCTTCCTTTGTATTGTCAAATGCCAGGGCTTCCTAGGGCCCTGTTTTAAACAGTAGAATAATGTTGTCACTTTAAGATGTTCGAGAACGTGAACAGAACTACGACTTCTATTAGACAGAAAACTACCTACAACCGATACCCCCTACTTTCATGCTGCTGAGCATGGTATCAGCAGCACAAAGTTTCCTACTAGAGGTCACTTTACCAACGCAATTACAAGGAAACCGAAGACAACATTGCACTGGACAGACGACGAGGACATTGACTGTCATGAAGCGGGCTGGCGCTCGAGTCGCTACTATTGTTGGGTCGGTTTGGTTGTGTTGGTCCGTGTACAACCGTCTCCCCCCAGTGCTGAGCTGCAATGTGCGTGAGCACAAAATGGTCCATCAGAGTCACCATAGTGGCAAACCGTGAAAGCACCACGTCACATACGACCAACAATGGCATCGTGATAAGCAATGCACTTGCAGGATTCGACGATCGAATCGACCACAGAGTGCGTGCCATTGTCAGGGTCAAGCGACTACTGCCACCGCAGAAACAGCTCAACATTGACAAGAATCCAATAGAAAAGTAGTCGGATACACTCAGCTCTAGCTTTTCAGATGATGAGGTCTCTAATAGCCACAACAGCATAAGCGGTAGATACAATCCGCGTGCATTTCGAGTAAATGCTGCCGTCACTGCAGTAGCCACTTGTGCGGCTGAGCGAGTCACTGTGAGAGCACGAGCGTAGCACTGCATCGTTACTGGCGCCGACAGTACTACATTGTCAGTTGTGAATGCAAACAGAATTGCCGGCACAAATGATTTCGTCTTTGTCATCAGAGGCAATCGAAGATCACTGCTGGAAAATTGTTTGAGTACCATCGGTAGAACCAGCATGACATGTAGGATGAATATAATTATCACACCAGCAATCAGCGACGACATTGGAGACGTGAATGAATACCACTCCCGATGATGAGCCACCACGTGCCCCAACATAAGCGAAAAAAATCCTACTGGTGCCAGATATCGCTCCATGGGTCGAACCATCCACTCCAGAGCAAGCTGCAATTCCACCAAGAGGCTCACAAGATAGTGGTGAGCCTTGTGTGGATTCTCGGTATTTGTATCATTCCTTTCCGTCGACTCAAACATCGCCGCTTGGGCATCACGCCGTAGTCGCAGTATCCGCTTTCCGCAGACATATCCCAAAAACAAGGCAAACACGACGAGACCACCCAGAAGCACAATTCCATCACTTGCAACCTCTCGGTACCGTGCAGCTAAATTGTCAGGACTTAGCGATAACAACAGCGAAGCAGCTGCGTTGCCTTCCGTGCCTAGTGATACCGGATAGTACGCCTTTGTTGACTTTGGTGTCGCAAACACTCGAGTAACTTCTCGCAATGCAAACACACCTGGTCCACTGCCAGAGATGTCGGTCGAGTTCGTGCTAACGTCCTTGTACAGTGGTAGCAATAACGACGCATTTGAGCAAGCAAACACGTCATGATCCAGACGTCGTAGGTACTCGTCATCGCCAGAGCATACTAGACCCATCGCTCCTTGAGGCAATGGAGTCACACCGATAGCATCAGACAGTATTGATGCCTCTGACCTAGCTGTGCTGCTACTTTTTCTAAACCACCCAAACTTGTGCGTCATCCACATTGCCAAAACTCCTTCGACTGTTGCTAACATTGCCAGCATCATCGCGTACCCAATCGAACGAAAGCTCAGAACTAGCTTATCTTTGTCTGCACAGCCCACGAGATCTGAAATTGCGTTCACGACGTAGCAGACCAGTAACGGGGTTGCTACTGCGCCCCATACTCGCTCAAATAAATGTCCTGGTAGCAAAAACCATCGCACGCCAGCAGCAAACACCAACTCTCCATTGGTCTCTTGACGGTCATGTACTTCAGGAGCTGACAGGTTGAAGATGCTAGCATCGCGTGCACCAACATACACCAAAATAGCTCCTGCACACAACCCAAACACCGCACACATCGCCAGGATCAACCATTGTCGAATCCAATTACGGTCACTCTCCACAAGCTGCTGCTTTTCCTGCTGCAGCAAAGGTTTGTTTAAATCTGGCACCTTGAATGGAATCTCGTAAAAGTCGTTGTGGTTGTAAGCCCGCGGAAGTGCTGCTGGATCAGTGGCTCGGGATCGCGGTGACGTAACGTTCACGTTGCCATTCTGCCTGCAAAAGTCTTTACTGTACAAGAAACGCCGCAGTGAGCTTGCCACTGACGCTGATAGATTCTGCACGCGGTCGACTAGCTTGGATCGCTGAGATATTACAGGTGAACCATCCAAGAGTGAATCGCTAGATGCAGCGTTTGAATTGTAAAAGCTGCTTGTTGGCTTCCACAGAAATCCTCTTGAGGTAGCAGCAAAAACCACTGGCGAGTTCCCCGGGGATCTTCCACTTCCAGCACCACCACTTTCACCAAGCCCATGAGAAGTTGAGAACGATGTCGCAAAGGGAGACGAAGAAAGGGATGGCGATTCACATACTGAAAGCCGTGGTGGTGCGAGTCTTTGTGGCATCCTATTGTCAGCCCGTCGCCTTGGCATCGCTCCAGATCTGCAAACATCGTTCCCTTCAGGACCCGATGGTACGGAGAAGAACCCACTGCCTTCATCTCCACTTACGTTTACTGCGGTTTTAGATTGCGACGCATGCGCTTTTTCCTTTGCGTACATTTTGGGTTCGAGAGCACCTGTTGCCTGAGGGCTTACCACGTAGTTTCGAGGCACAGGAATGTGGTCGGATGGCATCGATCGTGTCGCTGTGGTGCCTGTGCCTGAGCTGGTAGTTTCGATCGTCACGTTCATTGCCCTGCGCTTTGTCGACTCCTCTTGCTGAAGTGTCAGAGGAACAGCGTCATATTGCAAGTGCCACCCAAGCCGCTTGCCACCATTGCGCAAATTCTTCAGATCGACAACTTTGGCCACCGTGGTGTTATGCGAAGCAAAACTCTGAGGCCCCTCCACAACGTTGTCCACGTATTGAGCCAGAGATGTGCAAGCGCGCGCTCTTCGATTCGTCACACGATGCCCCTCTTCTTCATCGAGCACGCTTCTCTCATATGTATCTCGAAAGAAATTCTTAACTTTTTGCCGAGCTTCGCGCTGCATTGATCGGCCATCACTTCTAGAGCGTTCCAACTTCACGCCCAAGCACTCGAATTGAAGCGCGTCCTTGCGTTCACCTAAAGACGTTTGCTGAGACCTCACAGTCCGCATGTCGGGTCGAACAGGTCGTGACGGACTACCATTGTTAATCGAAGACTTTGAGCTGTTTATCGAGCCGCGGTAAACTCCAGTGAAGTCAAGACGATCAGCACTACTAGCCGACGATGCAAGAGATGCACGAGTCCTCGCTGCTAAGACCGATGAGGCAGACTCCACACCTGTATTCGCTAGTGATGTCGATGAGAACGAGCTTCGAGATGCGAGAATAACTTTGAGTGGGAGTACCAGCTGAGGTAATGTACCGATAGCCACATCACTCGCTTCCGTTTCTTCCGACCGTGCATCCGTATGAATGTCTCGCATTTTGATAGCCGCCAGGAGCGCTGCTGAAGAGAAATTGGAATTACCAGTAGAGTACGCTGAAGAGAGAGAATCTGAGGGCTTGCCCGTTTTGAGGCCGCTACCACGGGGAAGTGCGATAGACCTGTATAATATCTGCCCCGCTTCGTAACCAGCCTCTTGTCGACCTGAATTCTCCAATGCCGTGACAAACGAACGCTTCTCCATTACTTTCCGTCGCTTTTGCTGCTTGGTTAATTCTGTTGCGATAGCAGGCTTGGCAACGCTAAACGAGAGGAAAGGAAGCTCATCGCTTGTCGCCGAGATCTGGGACGCCGCCGACAAAGCTAAGGAGAAACTTCCTAAACTCGTGCCATTCACACTTATGATTGCGCTGCTGTCATGATCCCCTGGTTTAGTGGTAATACGATCTGGCCTCACAAGGTTGCTGTAGCTATGGTCGAGAGCATCACATGTGGTCGGGTAGACAACAGGGACGCTGTTAGACGGAAACTCGTCAACATCCTGCGGTATCAGGTCGCTGCTACGTCTTTCATTCCGGTCATGAACGTCATCCCCAAGAATCGCAACATTTGCAAAAGAGTCCCCTGAAGGCCGAGAGCCCAATGACGGTGAGCCTACAGATGGAAAGCTCTGCTGATTATCGTCGACAAAGAAGCTCGGTTGGTTGTAGAATAACATGCAGCTGGGCGATGTAGACGCCACTGCATTGTGTTCTTCAAATGCGCTGGTGATACGGTAATTTTGCTGCTCACTTTCTGCAGGTACTGCGGATGCTAACGGTGACTGTAGTGAGCCAACTAGAGGCTCTAATTCTTCATCGAAGGCATGCTTGCTCTCATTGAGGGCTACCGACGAAATCCTCCAAGACTCGTGAGTTGCTGTCATCGGCCGCCGCTGTGAAACTACATCGTACGAGGAACTTGATGACGACGCTGCACTAGACTGTCGGGACAATACAGGCTTGGTTGCACTCAAAGACGTGATCGCCGCCACAGTTGCGTTAACATAACCTGCTTCACCTTGAATAGCTGCGCTCTTTAGTGTGTGGCCTGATGTCTTGCCGACAACCTTGTTTGCTGACGTTGGTATTCTATCATCCAAGTCACACGTCGCATCGAGGAACTTTGCAGCGGTCTTATCAGCAGCGGATTCTTGGGAGATGCTGAGAATCGAAGGTGACAATGAAGCGTCCAGCAAAGATGGTCGAACAACAAAACTATTCTTGCTCGATCCACTCGCTTTGCTCTGTCTTTCCACTTTGTCGTCATCTAGCACACTTGGTCGATACACAAAGCTCGTGTCAATTGTCATAAAGCTGTCTTCGCCTATGAAACTATGCTCGTCCGAGAAACTGGGTCGAGGTTCATCAAAAAAACTATCGTCGTCCGGGTCAAAGCTCGGTGGACTGGACAAAGAGTCCAACGAGCTTTGACCGTGACGGTCAATACCACGATCAGCAGCTTTTGCACCAACACCATCACCTAAAGTCAGTGAAATGCGTCCTATGCTCTTGTTTTTTCGAGCAAGTTGTTCCAGTTTATTGACGTCAGAACTACCCATGGTCTGTTTCATCACCTTTGATTTCAAGCGACTTGACTTGTCATCACCAAGAACTTTTGGGTTTCCAAGAGGTAGACGAAAGCTGGGATTCCTACTATTTTCATCACTATTCAACGAATCGGCATAGAACCAGTCGTCCGTTTGTTGTTCCATCCTAAATGTTGCACGCGAATGTGCATCATCCTCATCTTCACTGTCGCTGTCATCCGACAGGAAATCGGCGAATGCACTCGTTCGTACTGCCTGTGCATAGGAATCGCGACTAAAAGCGCATTTCGACTGCGAAACAGTCATGCAGTCAGGAGATAAATAGCAAAACTACATGGAGTAACTAACTATTGCATTTGATTGACAGGGTTAAGTGTCATGTGGTATTTCTACATCTGTGGAAGAGTGTCAATGTTCTGAGCGGAGTAGCCAGCAAGAGGTATACGTTACAAATACAATGGTAGGAGAATACGACCCTAATGGGTTTTTGTGTGTCTATTATGAGATACTGCATCTATTTTTAACTAGGGTCCATCAGATCTGTTGAGAACTAGTATCACCATTGGGTTGGAACCCTCGGTCGAAAGATGGTGTTATTTTTCATCGTCATTTGGACCACCCCATGACTAGAGTTTTTTTGTGTACTATTTACTAAAGCAGCTAAATCTGAAATGAGAACGATTCTAAGCAGCACCAACCAAAATGGTACAAGCAAAAAAGAGGTTGCGCGGAGGTAGCTCGTGTAATTACGTCCTTTTGGCTACAAAGCTCTGTGTCTCACTTACAAAATTGTACATGGATTTACAATGGTACGTATTTTTAGCCTAAAGTTTAATCGCCTGATGTGATTCATAATATCAATTCATTTATACCTGTCTTAACTGATACAACCTATACATTGATAGAACATGGAAGTCCTTCTACTGTACGTAGTTGCATCGTAATCAATACCGGTATGCGTCAGTAAATCCAGAATCAGATATGTAGCCATACTTGCACCCTACGTTTCAACCAATCTAAACTCTCCTTCATATTCACCAATCACATCGTCTTCATTTTGACTGGCGGCTAGCTGATCTTCCTTGTCCTCACCGCCGCCACTTAAACCAAGTCATTCCCAGTTTCAAGTCCGAATCCATCATGGTGCGTATGTGTATCCTCCTTATACACAATTGCCCTGGCAAACCGTATATGACAGTGACGCAGAGCATCTCCGCTTGCTTATCACGTCATTTGCCCACTCAGCGGCCTTCAACTGATGTCTTTCTGACTCAAAACGTGTCCCCAACTTGTCCACTAATGTCTTCTTCTTGTTGTTTTTCTTCTTCTTCTTCTTGTTATTTAGTCGAAGAAAACCGCAACGAAGGAAGTAGAGGAGGTGGTGCGTGTTGGCCCCACACTTAAAGAAGGAGAGCAGGTGTTTGGTGTGGCTCATATCTTTGCCTCGTTCAACGACACGTTCGTGCACGTGACCGATCTTTCGGGCCGTGAAACGATCGTCCGTGTGACGGGCGGAATGAAAGTGAAGGCTGATCGTGATGAGTCTTCACCGTACGCTGCAATGCTAGCTGCTCAGGACGTGGCTGCCAAATGCAAAGAAGTTGGCGTCACTGCTCTGCACATCAAGATCCGTGCTACGGGCGGTAACCGGACGAAAACTCCGGGCCCCGGCGCGCAATCGGCCCTTCGTGCGCTTGCTCGTAATGGCTTGAAGATCGGACGTATTGAGGACGTCACTCCAATTCCCACGGACAGTACCCGCCGAAAAGGTGGTCGTCGTGGTCGTCGTCTATAGGCGAATGGACTGGTGTGCTCCAAAAGCTTACAAAGTGTACAGGTGGACGACTGGAGCAATTGTCTTTTGAACTGGGAAGTGCAAGCAGCTATTGCTACTCTGTTCGTTCATCTGAAGCTCCGAATTGTGCTGACGTCGTTGCTTTCAACTGGTTGATTAGGTTGCTTGTAACCATGAGAGATTTGTAGTAATGAAACGTTGTCTGCTGACTCGGGAACTCCCTGCTCACTCGTTGTTTTTCATGTATTTTTGACCATCCTGTCGCGCTACTTACAGTGGCTGTAGTAGACATCCCAATACTCCAGGACCACTCCACGTTTGTGGTACGAGCTCCATCACCACCAGTTGCGTCTCTCGACGTACCAAGACATGGATTCCATTGCCAATATTGCGTTGCACAATATCCTTCACAGCTGCCAGTTCTCGGTGATTACTCGCATCAGCTGAGCCAAAACGTAGCACTTGATCCTGCACTTGCAGTCCTGCCATTTCAGCCGGAGATTCTCTCTCCACACTTGTAACGACGGCAAAAGGCTGCAATTCTCTTTCTTGTGCTGTTATTTCTTCTGTCCTGAGCGACTGCACAGCAGCAGCAGTAGCTTTAGCCACTTGAGGAGTTTTACTTGTTTTGAACTCCGATTTACCACTACGAGCTTGAAACACCCTGTTTTAAAACATCGTTTTATTAAAAAAAGGAGTTAATTCGTTTCTTTTTAGCCAATCACAAAAATAACCCAAAGTAAATAACCCAGTTTTCGATTTAACCCACTGTGGTAAAAGCTCCTCGATCTTTTTCATTATCAGGTGATGGTCCGTCTGCTTCATGGCCATTGAATGACGGAGCTGCCGGATGCGATACACGTCAATATCAGCGCGTGGGAAGCCTTCAGTATCTACCAACGATCCATGTAACCCTGGGTTTTTTTCCGAGGTTAATTCCGTTGCAATGGCCTCAATTTCCTCCTCAAGTGCCTGTTTCGTCTTGATAGCGTCCTCATATTCGGCGATTACGTCGACCATAGTGAAAGCAAGTCTAAGGAATAAAACCCAAAGTTTGTAGTTTACATAACAATCTGATTTCTGATTGGCTAATATTGAATACTATATTGACCAATCCCAGCCGTTTATTACCAACCCCATGCGTTTCTTCGCCTGTTACTTGCTGACGCCTCTACAGCCTCCACAACGCTGGCGATGTTCATATATAGGCTTTACAGTGTCTCCTACACGCCGTATACGTCAACATAATGGAGAACTTACTAATGGAGCAAAGCGGACGCAGAAACACCGACCATGGTAGAATTGTACCAACTATATGGTACATTGATTTAAGTTAATTTTTATCTCTATAATTTGATGTATGTGACAGGGAGATGCTCGTAATAATTCATGGCTTCCCAAGCAAATTTCGAGCCCTTCAATGTAAGTAAAAAATAATATTTCTAAAAATTCCATCGTCTAAATAAAAATTCCAACATGTTTTTTCTTCTTATTTTTTCTTCTTTTTTCTTAGTTGAATGGGTGTGGCAGCATCCACTAGTGAGTAAATTCTCAAAGCCACATTTTTTGAAATTTTTACAAGAATCACGACATTTTGGAGCTCTTCGATCTGTAAAACGAAAATTGATGGAAATGCTACAAATTCTACATTTGGAACCTTTTAAAGGGTTAAATCTTACTGTAAGCTTTACGAGTGAAGAAACGTACAACATTGCTCGAGAATTTGGAACGAAATATTTTTCAGTTGCAGTGTGTGAGGTGAGAAACTTGAAGTCTTTTGCAAATGTTGCCAAGGAGACGAGATTGAATGTTGAGATTTCAAAGTGTTGTATTTGTGACAACAAATTATATCTGGAAGTGGAAAATGAGGAAAGAATAAACGAGGAAGAGGTGATGGGATGTTATTATGAAAATTGTGATATGTGTTGCCATTCATCATGTTTGAAGGACCATTTTCGGTCAATGAACGATGTTAAGGAAGAAGAAGAAACAGAAATGAAAGCGGAATGTCCAGAATGTCAACAGATTTTGCAGTGGTCTTTGCTGACGCAGCATGATGGACAAGAAAAAGCTGAAAGAAAAAGAAAAAAATGCGCTGGAAGGAAAGACCGCATTCAAAAGCGATTTCGTGTCTCAAGTATCTATGAAAATGATCATGAAACAGAGTCCGCTGATGTTGTGGAATCTACAGCAACTTGCACTAACGTAACACTGTGTGAAGACGGCACGAATTCAATTTGTGTCGACTCTTCCTTACCTAGAAGAAGTTTTGCCGATATTTACAATTCAGACGGCTGGTTTGAAAATGAAGTAGATCCAGATTGTCACGACGATGGCTGTGGGGGTAGAATGGCAGAGCACGCCTGCAGTTCAGAAGCTCCGGCGGATATCTGCGATGTCCAGATGTGCGTTTATAGCAGAAACGAAGTGGAAACGATTGACCTGACGAAAGATTAAATGATTCATCTTTTGATGCAGATCACAGACCTGGTCTCTAGCCATCCTGGACTCATTAAAGCGATAAACACGGTGCTGTGGAGTAAAGCTTAATCTACCATCTCTTTGTCTTCATGTGCGAGAGACACTTACCTACCCCGAACGGTTTTACATGTTTGGGATTTGACACGGTGCGTATTGAAGTAAGCACGAAATGGTGCACAGTGATATCATCCAAGCCGCATATCAATCAGCATACCCGCTCGCGGCACATGATCGTTCACCTTCTGATGACACTGGCAAGTCTTGGGTGGGGTTTGCCTACAAGACGCGCAAGACAATGCTTTTGTCATGATTTCTTGGACCGCTACCTTGTGGTGCTTTCCAGCTCAGATGCTCGCACTTCGATGACAACCAATAGCATGTGTTGTGCCGTCTGTTTCGCAGACCTCTTTAGAGGCCAGTTTACCCACGTGAGAGAGCAGAATGTTCCGCTGATTCTTCCTTCATCAACCGATGTCTGCCTCAGTCCCCGATTCTGTTTTAACTACAGCGTTGAAAAGCTGATCACTTGAATCATGGAAAATGGCGTGATGAGGATCTCGTCCAGGTCTTCGTCGTTGTTTCCAGAGACGAGGATGTCATATTCATTTGTGATACAGCAATAGCAAGCGTCAATCTTGTTGCCGTCATAACTTTGGGTTATTTTTACATGCTCTGCCAAAGGTTAATATGGCAAGATCCAATAATCGTTACGACGGCCCGTTCTCGCCTGGATGACAACATGGCTACAAATACCAGACCTATTTTTACTTTCCGCGTCTCATTCTGAGCCAGTCAAAGAGCACAAAGTAACGGACGCGCAGAAAACGTTGCACACGTCACATATTCCAACTTGTCTCCATTGTCTGCAAGTCCAAAACGTATCATGACTCCATCATTCCTTTCCAATGCATTGAGATCCATCGTTAGCAATACAGTGCCAATGCAAAACGATTTGCCGCTACATTTGCGTGGAAGTTGTGCATCGACCGAGAATCGTCAAGAAGAGCTGGAACTCTTGGACTTAGCGGATACTGTCCTTGCCGACAATAATTGGAGATGGCTACACCATCTACTGGACCTTGTTCACGATATTGCTACTCGACAACGAGGCAAAATGTACTTCGCTCGCCTGTTCAAGTCTCAAAACGCAGCTGAGATAGAAGTAGCGCTGTCCGAGATGGAGACGTGGCGTCAAGAGCTTGGGGATGAGAGTGCCCGACCACGCGAGCACGACCTCGCACGCGCTTTGTTCCTGTTGGGGTACGACAAGAGCTTGTCGTTAACTACATTGTAGGTAGAGAACAACTTACACATAGTTTAGCTCCGACTGCAAGGCGCTTTTGAATCCATAATGCATCTACTAGAGACATGACATTAACAAGTGTAAGCTAGAACAAGATTCCAAGTACTTGGCCACTAGCAAAATAGATTCTAGAACAAAATACAACGCCGAGGTCAGCAATCTCAACATTATCAATCGAGCCATGCGTTTAAGAGCCGAAAGCTTCGTCGGCCTCGTCGATTTTCTTAAACTCGTAATGGCCACGGCCGTCGAACTGCAAATGAAAAAGCAGCAACAAAAACGAGCGTAAGCACAGTTAACACCACTGACATCAAAAGCCAAGCACGCACCCAAAGCACATATTCATGGTACGCCCAGAGCGACTTGCGGTGCGACACAGTAAAGAGCGTGATGTTCTGCGCGCGGCAGAAGCTATACATGGCACCTTCAACATCAACGCTGACAGCAGATGTGCATTCGTCCAGGATAGCAAACTGAGGTTTGTGGTAGAAGAGGCGTGCCATGGCCACACGCTGTTTTTCGCCACCGGAAAGCACATCTGCCCAATCGTGAACAACATCCCAACCACCTTCGCGATCGACTAAACGACCCAGCTGAACCATTTCCAGGTAATGCATCAAGTCTTCATCCGTCCTCTCATGGGCCTGCATATCCTTGAGCGAATGAGGGTAGATAATCTGATCGCGAAGAGTGCCCAACGTCAAGTATGGACGCTGGGGGATGTAGAATAATCCGTTGCGCTCCGGCTTCGTCAGTTTGCCACCAAACATCGGCCACAACTCACCTAAAATCCGGAAAAGTGAACTCTTTCCACAACCGTTGGGTCCTGCGACAACAACATTCATGCCAGACTTCACCTTGATGTTAAGCGACTGCACCAAAACGTCGCCGTTCGGCGTCACAAGTGGTACGTTCTCAAATTGAATAACATGATCACAGTAGCGGATTTCGCCGTTGTTAGGGTACAGCCCAAGCGATTCAGCGGAAGTCGACTGCGCCTTCGATTCCTCCAAAACATCGTTATCCTCAGCCTTGAGCATCGTGCGATAATACTTTCCCTGGTCCAGATCAGACAGAACGTCGAGCATTTCTGTAACACGCGCAGTAAACCCTGCGAGGCGCGTCAGCTCACGCCCCGACAGTACGAGACGCCCCATAGCCTCTGACATTTTTAGCAGCATTTTTCCAGATCGGAAATAGTCTTCCATTCGCTCTGCATACGTTGTGTGCTCCAACCGCTTGTTCGACATGTCCAGGAACGGTTTCGACAGTACGGCATAGCCAACGACAGTCGCCAAGTATTTGGCCACCACATTGTCAATAACACTCATAGAGAATCGAAACTGCTGCGAACTACGCAAGAGGTCAATGAGTCTGTTAAACGACTGATCCAAGATGCGTTTTTCCCGAACGTTTCCATTGTAAAAAGCGATTTCCTCGCTGTGCGTGATCAGTCTCGAGTTCATAAAGCGAAAATTGCCTTCCATCTGCTGCTCTGCAATCGTAAACCGACTCGTTGGTTGCCGTAGCCACGTAAGAAAGAAACCTGACGCTATCAAGTAGCTCAACATGATCACGGGCCCCTCGACACCAATCGTCGATGAGAGTTTTACTGCATAGAGAACAATATCCAGCAAAGGTTTCGACATGTTTGAGTACAAATCGGCAACGGAATTTGAAAACCTCTCGACATCAACTGTAAGCAATTGATCGGCATTTGAAATGCGATTGTCGAGATTCGAGACCTTGTAATAGACAAATCCCTTGACATATTGTTCGTACAAGTGTCGTGTAAGTCGTGTCCGAAAGCGTAAACTCAGCTCGGTATGGCCGTACTTGAGTAAACTATTGACACAACTCATAGGCAGCATAATTGCAACAAAACGACGTAAATGGTGCAAAAAATCCGTCTGGGAACGGGAAATAATAGCTCGTTCAATGGCCGTGAATGTATGAAGCACCACAATGTCAAAAGACGTTCGGGTCAAGAGCATTACAGCCACAAGAGCAGCAAAACCCACTTCAGCAGTAAAAGGACCTGGTACAATGATCTTGAACAGTCGTAGAAAACGGCCATAAAAGTCTCTATTCACTGCCACCCGGTCTCGTCTGCCGTGTTTCTTGGTCAGAAACTCGGACTGACGGTAAAAACCGGTATTGGCTTGTTTTTGGCCATGATTACGAATGGCAATGGCAAGGGTAATCTAATCCTCGTATTTAAATTACGAAGAAAAAAAACATGGGACAGTTAGAATGGGACATACTGTTTTTGTATAGGAAGGAAGAATGGAAAGAAAAAAAGCACGTTCTTACTATTGAAGCGATTGAGATAATGCCCGATGCTGCGTGAGACTTGGATAGAATCGTCATTTATGCTACTGATCGTAAAGTCACGAGAGGGTTGATGGGGATTCTGACGTTGTAATATATATACTCTTCTGTGCCAGAAATGACGGGCTTTTACTATGTAATGTATATTAATTTATTCGAGCAACTTTATAATGTTGCAGAATAAAATGTAGTACTCATATCTTGATAATGTAGTACTCTTGTACCTGATGGTGTACTATTTCCCTATAATTCATATTTATCGTTTTTAGTTTTATAAAATATTACTACCAAATAGCAAGTGAAACAAATAGCAACTAGATGATGATGAGAAGCTGTTAGGTTAGCTTTACCATCATTAGAACCCCATAGGTTCATAGCTTTAACATGTAGCGCTAAAACTTTAAACGCCATAGTGCACTCGGAATGTCTGAGGTCATTTAGCTTTGATGTACTACAAGTACCAACAAAGTAATCAATATGGCCCTTGGTACCAAATCTCCATCGTCTTGTCGATAACATGACTGGGAACTATTCCAGGAAAGCTTGATGGACAGATAGAGTAGACGTTTTGGTATAAAAGCTGGCGTTCCAGTGCAGCGTCAACTTTTTTAATAGAAGTAGGAGGTTCTTAGTTGCAAGCATATTGTTAAAGACACGAAAGCTTGAGAGCGATAGAACCTTTACCGTCAATTTGCCTTGTACATGAAAATCGAGGAGACCGTCCTGGTCGTCGTGACAAACAGCACTGAAACCTTCGAAGGATCTTGTATGAGCTCGGAGCTCATCAATGACTCGAATTTGCTGATCGAGTTGTGAAGGCCGACAAGCTATACCTGATGGCTCACAAGCTTATGATATCGCTGGTGAAGCTATAGCTGACGTGGCGTGTTAACAACAAGAATGTGTCAATCAACCTGACTGATTCATTCAGCTGTAGAACATGAAGGCACTGGACAAGATGATCACGCCCGAGTTAAAAGCAGAAACGACGCGCCTTGATGCTGTTTGTGGCGATGCTGTCAGATGGACTGGAAATGCTGCACACGAAGCACCTGTGAATGCAGTGAGTGCAAACGTTGGTCTGAGCAGTTGTATGTCTCGGCATCTCAGTCTCGAGATTGAGTCTTGGCAGCTGGAAGGTTATTTACCCGAGGTGGTACAACGAGGGAAAGTGATAAAGCACAAGCATCAACCTTTTTGATAGCGTCCAAAATGGATAGCGTCTTAAGCTACTAGTGTCGTGATGGTCTTGTCATATTATACATGACAAAGTCATTGCCTTGTGTGGAACCAAGATCTTCAACGTGGTTTGAAACGAGAGCTCGAACCGAAGAACAGTGTGAACAATACATCTCTTGAGCGCCTCCTCCAATTACGACTTTGAGCTGCCAAGAAAGCAGTGGAAAATGCCAAGGACTCAAGGAAGGAATCGAGTGTTGGTCATATGAACTCAGGTCAGTGTCAGGAACTATCCAGCGTTCTGACACCAACCTGCAAGAGCTTCTCGACCAGGTCCAACATAAACATTATAACTCCTTGCTGATCACTCGTCAACTTCATTAGCATCGTCTTTTCTAATGAAGTAAAGAAAACGCATGTAAGATCCTCAATCTTTCACCTAATGCACGTAGGGGTTAGTAGCCATCACGTACACCACGTGACTGACTACCATTAGCAATGATTGCTTATCGTGAGACATCCATGCAATAACAGCATCCTACAACTTCACTGACTTTTGCAATTGCTCAAGTATCGCAGAAGCTACTTTATAGTGTCAACTGCTTAGCCATAATCTCACTTATACTTTGGCTAGATCTACATATTGAAGTTAAAATTGACAATTCAAGTCATGTATTGAAGCAAGTACGTCATGTATTCAAGCGGTATTCAAAGGTGCGGTCGAGAAATGTAACAACATTACAAATGACATCGTCTCAGGAGCTCTAAAACTTCCAGATAATTTCGTATATTATTACGCATGCTCAAGCATGAAAACATATTGATAAAAGAAATCGTCACAGACGAATCTACAAAGGGTGGAAATAAAAAAAAGTCGCCACTTCGGTACATGTCTCGGGTGATAAGGTATTGGTCGATATCACCGATGACAGCATACTTTCCCCCCCCCCCCCTCATCGAGTACCACCTACCACCTGTTGAGGGGTATTCGAATATTATACTATACGTTTAGCTCTGTTTTTACAATTATATACCGGTATGACATGGTAATGATAGAAATGGCTACACGGTTTCTCTAGATATCGCACCCAAGCAGCATTCAGGTCGATACAAACCTACCAATAGGTCTCATTCCCTGCATTCTTTCTTGATCCGTTCCTTCATGACAATGATGGATAACTCAATTACAAACAATGCTCTTTCTTCAAATGTAGTAGTAGAATCCAATAAAGAAAGACCCACAGGTTTATACCAAGATTTGCCATGGAACGACTTGAAGCGCCATTCGAGTCGTCTTTTGCAGTCCCGCGTGGGACGCGACAAACAGCGTTACGATGGTAAGATACGATTACTAGCATGTATTGTGGTCTCGCGTCGTCCAGTTGACTCAAATGAGAATGAGTTCCTACTCATTTCAAGTTCCAAACATCCGACGCAGTGGATTTTGCCCAAAGGAGGATGGGAAAATGACGAGTCCATAGTTGAGAGTGCATTGCGTGAAGCGAATGAGGAAGCAGGGGTATGTGTGAAACCTTTAATAGGAATCAACTGGTTGTTGGCATGGCTTTCAATAGTTTCAATCGAACGCATTCTGACAGTTGTAATGGCTATGAATGTGTTCATTTTATAGATCGCTGGTGACATTGTGGGCTCATTGGGTTCGCTCGATTTTGCCAGCCAACAGGGTAATCCTTGTCGCTTTTACGGCTACAAGCTGCAAGTCAAAGAGGTGTTCCAAGACTGGGCAGAGAACACTCGCCAGCGCAAATGGGTACGTTGGATGGAAGTGCCTTTGGAAAGTCTTGAGCTTTTTACAACTGACAAAGAGTTGGCAATTTTAATGATCCAGGTCTCGTTCGACGAAGCTCGTGAGTTGCTGCAGCACCGACCAGAGCTCGTTGAGATGATATCGCGTGCTGCAGCACTTTGACGCAACGGAATACATGCAAGTTTTACAAGGTGCATTAGAACTTGTCTTCAATACTAGATACAGTAGAACTTGTTGAAAAGAATCGGTGGTACATGCAATGCTACCGCCCGTCAAGAAAAGACAGCGATTGCTAACGAAACCATTTCTGATCGCAATGCACATTGCACGGCCGGTGATGTAGCCAAGACCGAGAGATCCCACTTGAGAGATGCAGTTGGTAGCATAGACACGCATAGACACCGACTGCCGGTTCCAATGTGTTAGATGCCGAACGCATCCAAACAACGAGCCGGATCAACATTTTGATTGCGTGTATTCCGGAAGATTGTCGACCAGACGTGCCCGCACAGGTCCAGTCGATGGTGGCTCTTGTCTCGTCCAGAGGGTGTAGAGCTATTATGCCCAGTACAAGTCGTCGCTTTATTCACCCACCGGTTGTCGTTCGAGTAGTCGTAAACCACATTCGAATCGCCCTGCTGTTCTTTGCTTTCGTGGTGCTCGAAGGGGCAAGCGACACGCCACCGTTGTACGTTTTCCCATATGCAAAACGCTGTACTTACTTGTCCATGTGCGAGCCCATCTGCTATCGCGAAAATATTGATGATGCGAAAGAAATCACCTCCTATCGCTACGAACCCTTGCTGAGCCATGAAACGGAACTCTTTTTACATGCAGAGTGAGTCTCCGTGTGACAAGAATGTCTTTGGGATACAAGAGCGATCTCGCTACCGGATCTCAATCATTCAACAGTCATGTTGCAGAGCATGTCCACAGACGATCCTCCTTTGTGATCCTCCGTGTAGAATATTGCTCAGTCGTACGAGCTGCGCAAGCGGTCGTTAAGGGGAAGATACACCGGCTGGTGGTGTCCCTGTGCCACGCGGTAATGCTTTGGTAACGCACAAGTCGGCTCGACGGCGGTCATAAAGGGGGGGGGCTACACCCCATATGACATGCGCCGTTGCTCCGGCGACCGCGCATGTCAGACAAACGACGGCCTATCAGGACATCACAATGGTACACGTCTGCTGCTATGCTGCATCAGCATAGCCGGACAATCCCGAGAGCAGGTGACCAGCCTCGTACAATGACCGGACTCGATCGAGCACCGGCGTTGCTAATGAGGTTTAGGAACTACCCGACATCCTGCCACCCCGAAACGGGTCAATAGACTCGTCTGCCTCTCTCTTTCTCTCTCTCAGCATACACGCTTTAGTCCAGCTTGCTCCCGACTAGAAAAGCGTTGTCGGTAACGTAGTTCATTCGAACAGAGGGAGGGTAAGCGAAGTTTGCGAAACAAAAGGGCAGCGACGACATCTCGACCATGTGATTGTTGATGAGCGTTAAAAAGTGGTTACGTCCTTATTCCCGAGGCGACGGACGACCTGTCACGCGTTACATTGCCAAGGGATACATGCTCCAGCTGGCGTCCAATTGCAGGGACTACCAAAAGTGACTTGTGTCTTTCTCCTTTTCATTGTTAAACGCAGTGAGACGTCACAGACTGGACGTACATGACAAAGAACGCTACGCTGTACGTAGTAGTTGGTTTGTACAATCTCTCTCGAGTCGTATACAAGACGATGCTGATGAGCTCGTGGGTACCACAGACGCTGATTTAACTGGAAGTTTTTTTGCTACTTGCTACGATTGAAACGTTGAATCCTTCCTTGCCTAGCCCGCTATCCAGTTGCATGGACTATGGTCTTTTTTTCCTAGGAATCAGTGACCATCTGCCTCTGAAACTGAAGTCCCGAGTGAACACTTGGAGGTTCATCAATACTTTCTTTGGCATCAGGCGTGCCAACGGATCGTTCGAGAAACTTTGCTTTGTTAGCTTTTTTACTGACTTGGACTACAACATGAGACGTGGTCCCTTTACTGACGACTGCTTTTTTTCAAGCTGGACTTGAAACCCATGGCAACCGAGTCCATGGGTGTTGAAATGATGCCTGACGCATGTGCTCGAGAAGGAATTGCAAATGAAAAAGACTTGCAGACGAGGAAGGAGGGACTTTAACAATACAAAAACATGACGCGTGGAAAACGTAGGTGACCAATAATAGCAAGAATGTGTTGACTACGAGAAAATCCCTCACACACACACTGCCACGTAGAACGATTGTAGTAGAATCCATGTCGAGTAACAGCTGGGTAACAGTCGATCACGTGAACGTCATTGCGGCCTTCGAGCCCCCACAAATGTAACTTTACGATTCCATGGTGTACAAAAGACTATTGACTGGTTCTCCTTTGCTACACCGTGCGACATTATAGTAGTGGCTTTCTTTAACTCTTTCCAACGAGCTCAAAACGATGGGCAAGACACTTTTACTGCTCTGAAAAAAAACCAATTCATCCAGCTGGTGTGATACAAGGAGAGATTCGCATCAGGCTTCGTTCGTTCCTTCGTTTCTACTAGCTACTACAGTAACAAGCTCCTACTACTACGTCAGTCCCGTCTACACGTACGCATAAAAATAGAACCTTCCAGTAAGCGGGATAGGGGTCGGAACTTGTCTCGTCTGGTCGGTACCTTGTCGTCATGTCGTCTCATGTCCTGTCATTGTTGTTGCTTGATCGCTCGCTCGTTCTCCGCCCGCAAAAAACCTCTTGGAGTCTGTCACTTTTCAAAAAGACTCGTGGCAAACAAATCTCCCGTCTTTTCATTCCACGCTTTTCTCGCTTTCGCTTTCTCGCGCTCTACGCAACAATCTACAATTTCATCCAGCAGATTGTATCAATCTATTCAATTCAACGACATTTTCTTACACACTTGTCAAGTACTTTCAACAAACGATGCGTCAACGTACCAAGAGTGTTGTGAATGTACGCGAGTACTTTCGTACGGATGGTAGTGGTGCTCCCGAGCAAGAAGATGATGATGATGCAGATGATTGGATGACGTTGGCAATGCAAGGAAGTGCACTCTCTTGTAAACCCACTAGTGAGCTTTCCTTTGACGCGGTGATTAAACCGAGAAAGAACACACGTGGTCGAACATCGACGTGTGATTCCTTGGCTGATACAGATGAAGACACGGATGATGATGAAGAAGATGATGGCATTCTACGGATTCGAGCATGCAGTCATGATCGTCGCATTAGTTTCCAGGAAGACGTTAATGTGGTGGAAATTCCAGCACGTTCGAGCTTTGATGCTGACTATAAACGTCGTGTCTGGTACTCACGTGATGAACTTCGTCGCAGTCAGGAATGCTGCTAGACTGCTAAAAGAACGACGCAATGGATCGCTCTCTTACTTTTTTATTTCTTTCTCTTTGGGAGGAAGGAAAAACTACTACAAGGAGAGAGAGAGAGAGAGAGAGAGAGAAGAGAAACTCTAGAGGAGGCTTTTCCAACTGCGTGTTTATTTATCGAGTCGAGCAAAGGAACGAGACGAGTTACTTTACCTTAGAATAGGTCGAGGTTAATGTATTCTTGGCCAGGTGATCCGAAGTGATAGGGTCCCATACATGCGAAAATACAGACCGAAACGACTATATAAGTATATGCAATATCTAATTTATCGAAACGTAAGTGTATTTATATATACTACTTGGTCCTTTGAAAGGTACAAAATTATAATAGACGTCTTTATAATAAATCCACCAACGTACGTCATTATTAACATAAGGTCAAAACACAACGAACGTCATTAACATAAGGGTCAAAGCACACGTCCATTGTTCTGACGTCATACAAGAAATAAGAAAAACGTACTGAACTCTTTGTAAAAAACACAACAGAAATTAGGGTCCTTTAACCCGGATTATAGGGTACCTTATTATAAAGGATAATGCCATGCCTCCTAGGAAAGGTGGAAGCTGCATTGGCCTTCGGTAATGCAATACAACAGCCTTTTCTTCATAATGTCACGCGTTGAATAATCCGGTAGCTTCAAATAGTTCGTACAGGTCGAGGCTGATGGCAATATCGCGTCATTTTCGTCGGTATTATTGAAATCATTCACTTCAGTGAGCTTTCGCACGACCGTGAGTTTCGGTTCAAGATTCCGTAGTCCACCAAGTGGTAAACGGTTGGCACCCGTGACAAAGCGTACAAAAAGTCGCTGTTCGTCCATTGACAATTCACAAAGAATCGACACGAGGTTGGCAATCGCACGACTGTCTGCTGTATAGCCATGGTCACATATCATGTGTTCACGCAAGTCGACACCATCACGATCCCACATGGTACTACCGGAACCACGATCGCTCAACAAGGACTCGAGTTCGTGTACATCAAAAGTTTGCAAAAAGCAGAAAAGGTGACGATCTCCACTGTCCCCGCACATCTGCTCAAAACCTTGTCGAAATGCTTGCACTTGATTCTTAATCGTCCGGTCTAGCAAGAATTCCAGATTCAGTACCACGTAACGGTGTAGTGTCGATAGAGTTACCGAGGTGTCATTACCATCAGCTTCAAGAGGAATCTCATCAGCGCCTACCATTGTGAAAAAAAGACAAAGAGAATCCACTTCCTTTGTCCATGCAACCACATCGTCCGATGCGACGTCACCTGATGCCACCTTTACAGTGTACTTGACCGCCAGATTGTACAAGTAGCGCAACGAGTTGGCGATGGAAGGATCCATTTCTTCTACAAAAGAGAGCGACGTCTCAACACTCACGCCGCTGCCCACCATCTTCTCACCACGCAACGCTCGCACGAATGGACGAGCGAACGGTAAATTCAACAACCGCTCGTCCAGCATTGCTTGACCAACAAAACGACCCAAAAACCGGAACCATGTGAGCACGTACACCTCGTCCGACGCGTCTGCTTCAAAAGTGGCGACCTGACTTGACTCGTGTGGTTTCACGATCGTTTTATTCTCGTCCAGTTCACTATAGATGAGGTAAGGCTTCGGGTACAGACCAAAAGGTGCCATCACAGGTGGGCCACCACTAACATTGCCACCCGCGAAAGTATCCTCGCTAAGATAATCCAGTGCTTCGACGTCTGACTCTAGTACTTCTGGACTCTGCTCGAGGTTCGTTACCAACATGTCCACATCGCTTCGAGTGATCGAGCATATCATCACATGTAACGGAGTGCCCTCACACAAAGGCGAAACATGCTTGGTCACAGCACGATAGTCTCTCTCATACATGCGGCGGCCCGACCGTGAAACCATGCGATCTCCATCCATGACCACGATACCTGCATCCGTACCAGGAAAGTTTACTGTATCACAGTGCGCACACTGTAGCACAGGATGACTAATCCGTTTAGTATGTTTGGGGAAGACCTTGGCAAGATAGTGCGCCTCCTCGTCACTCAGAATCCACCACTTTAGCGTGCACCCAGGGCATGCATTCGTTATGTTGTTGCTTTCTTCGCTTTTGCTTGCTGCATCATCATTTGGTCTGCAGTCACAGCATGCAGCGGCAGAATACCAGTCGTGGTCATCTAAACACTGCACACACTGCGGGATAGAATGTATCGACGCCTGCCGTCGCACTGGCAAACATGAAGACTTTCTCTTGGTTTGGCTGGAATCATCGTCGCTTGTGCTACCGTTGTCAATGTCTACAACTTTTTTCTTGTGCGTAAGCAACTGCTTGTGCACAGAACACGCCGGAATGTGAAGGGCCTTACATTTGGAGCAGTGATAGACTGCAACACGGTGGTATCCACGGATCGCAAGATTGTGATTTCTCTGGTCTGTCTTGGTAGGATCGATATCATCGCCAAGGGGTTCTTGCTTTTGCTCTTCTTCGGCGCTTTTGCTAGCTTTAGACACAGCTCGATCGTCATCTCTCCAAAGTTGCAGCTGCGCTGATTGGATCTGCTGACACACGAGAGTGAAAAATTCCGTCGTTGGCCCCAAACCAGTACCGACTTCCCCGAGAAACTCAATCTCGATAACTGCCTTCTTTCCGCCATAGAGTGCTACAAGCTTCATTGCCGACTGTAAGAGACGAGACCGCGCCACTCGTACTTTCAGTCGAGGGAGTTTTACCATTTGCGAGATATTGTCGAGGCCGGATGTCCGAGTCCGACTAGAGCCATCACGATGACGACGCCGCCCACTAGTATTGCTCTGTCGTGCATGTCGGGCTGGAGCTGGTTCTTCCATTACGGCTTTCCTCCACACCGATCGACACAAATACTGAATTGCTCTTGAACATCCACACGTTGTCGCGTACATGAAATGGCACTTTGTTTCAAAATCAAGTACAAACGAAAATTCGTTCACGAGAAGAAAACACCACTCCGGAAGGGAGTCCGTTACCACACGAACAGGCTGCTGTAGGGCACGGCGTACCTGGAGACTAAGATAGCTGTTCACGAAATTGAACTGTGCTCCAAATGGTTTTCCAATACACTGGTTCCGCACGAGTTTCAGTAACAACAACAGTTGCCACACGTCATCCCACCACGGCTCCGATACAATCGACTCTGCTGAAGCTGACGGTGAACAAAATGCCGGAGCAATTTTGGTGTCTTCAGAATTCGGTTCGAAATTGACAACGTCCTCGACCGATTCCGGCGAAGCGGATACTCGAAACGTGATATCATGGGATGATGCTGTCCAAACGGGAGATCCAGACGTCCCAGACCCAGATTTACACCGGTCTACGTCAAGCTTCCCATCTCCTTCCGCGTCTACGCCTCCAAACTTTACGATTGCCTCCAAGACACTCATGATCGCTGGTAAAACTCGTCCTTTATACACTGCTAGTACTCTTCGCGGCTTCATGACATCGTTTGCAAACTCTTCGCTCTCACCAACATCTCCTTCTTCACTCTCAACGCCTACGTCTTCCAAGTCATCAAGAATGACCCCGGCATCCCCACCTCTGCCAAATAGCTTGTCCGCGATAAAATCTTCCATCGTTTCGATCCTTGCAAGAGGTTCCACCAGCACAACGGTTTCATGCACAGTACGCTTGTTTGAAGAATAGCTGTTTCCTTTTCTATCCGACGAAGTTTTCTTCAATACATGCTCTTCGAGTTCTTGTTCATCGTGAGAATCTGCTTGTTGATTGCTTTGGTCTTCATTGTCAGGCTCTACCACTGGTTTTGCTTCGTCAATAAGCACATGCACCTTGATGTGCTGAGTTAATCGATCCAAATCAGTCGCAATGCTACCAGATGTAAGTTCTGCGGACCGTCTACCAGAAGCAAAAACCGAGAATGCCTCTTTTTCTGAAGATATCGCATCTTGCAAGCATCGCAAAAGCGATGAGACGAATCCTACTTCACAGCTGTCAGCGCTCTGTCGCTCTTGCATTTGAGAGAAAGCTTGCCGGCCCTTATCAACAGATAAAGTTTGGATGAGTACCTTTACTAGCCCGCTGCGAGCAATGTTATGCACAGTTAGAAAGTTGTCTCCTTGCGCAACATAATTATCCAGCTTCAAGAGTACATCGAGCAGCGACGCCGTCTGATCGTTTTCAGATGTACTACTAGATACCAGCGTCATTTGCAGCTCATTCACAAGTCGCTCCAATTGAGCCATTCCGCTTATGACCGAGCTTTCGTCACCCAAGTGATCACGTATTAGCCGGACTGAAAAGTCCTGAATTTCTTGCAGATCACTTCCACTTATGCATTTGTGCTCGAAGCTAGACGCGTAAAAGCGAATGAGACTTGCAACACCGTGACGCTCAAAAATGTCCTTTGATACCTCTCGTGCACTTGTATTCTGCAAAGGCACCTCAACAATTCTCAAAGCAAGCTGTATCAAAACGAGATCTTTGTCAGCTTTAGCTGGTAAAGAAACTGTCACGTCATTGCGTTTTGGACGCAGCACCCGTGCAAGAAAAGCGGCGAGCCGCGATAACTCGGTGCATTCTTGGTCTGTAAACGGCTGCCGGCTAGCATGCATCAATAAACAGCTTCGATAAATAACGTCAAGGCAGTCGTACCGCAAGTCAGCTCGCGAAGTTACATCGTAGACGCGACTAATCAGTGTCAAAACATCATGCGTCAATTTGAGCATTGCCGGTGGAATTGCGTCCGCGGAGCAAAGTTCGTCTGAAGTGGGCAATACAACGATCACTAACTTCAGCGCTTCACGGAGTAGCTGATTCTCGGTAATCACTTCTTGCTTGGCTAGCAACGCTGTCACAATCGAAGGCAATTTGACAAAGCGCAAATGGGACGTACTTGGAATGACTGATACTGCACTCATATCACTTGAAACACAAGACAGCAGACACGAAAGAAAACGCAGCATACTTATGTACCCCTCTGGTGCCAATTGAGCTGACGCGCTGTTTCCGTTTGATTCATCTAAGCTGGCGTATGACGTCAATTTGTTCAGTAGCAGCTCACAAATATCCTTCGTTGCAATCATCGACGCAAACTCTTTGTTTTGTAAAAATGCCGAGCTTTCTCCCAATTTTTGCAGACATGCAAAACTACTTTGCAAAAGCTCGTTATCAACTGACCGTAGCAAGTTTGTAATATACGGCAATCCTTGGCGCATTTTTTCTTCCATTGACAAGGGAAAATCTGTGCACAACTGGCAGACAATTCGAGCAGCTCGTCGTTGAATTTCCAGCGGAAAAAAGTCTACAAACTGAAGCAGTGCCACAATGCCGTTCTCTTGAATAACTTCCATCCGATACTGTGCACACAATTTCGCCACATTTGGTACTGCGGTGCTTGCAGCAATGAGGGCCGACTCGGCCTTGCATACAATTTTATCCAGAATCTGCAGGGCTAATTCAGCCACGTCCATATATTCGATTTCCAAGAGCTTTTCACATAATGAAGGAATTACTTGTTCCGCCGTAGCTTTCTGGATCGCTCTACTTGGGAAGAGCTCGAGTATAGTCGATAGAGCTCTTGTAGCCAGTAATAATACGTCCATAGACGGGGATACGCGAATAAGTATTACAATCACGGGGACAAACGTGTCCACATGAAAAGACGAGACAGCAAGTGCCTCTTCTGTAGAAAGGGCAAGTGTCTCACATAATTCCGAGAGGCCACGTGTCTGAGTGGTGATTGGCTGAGTCACTTGAAGTTGGTCCAAAATCCGTTGAAATTGTTGACTTGCGGTACCTCTTGTTTGTAATAATTGAGACAAGGGAAACATACCACCGAGTAGAGACGAGGCAGTCCCTCCAGTTTGTAATTGTTCCAATAAATTTCCAAGGGAATGGGACACATCGGTTTCGGTATCGGTGGAAAATGTTGCGTCTAATGCGTGCAACATTCGTGCAACATTCGATCGAGTACGATTTCGGCTTGTTCTTGTACCTTGTGACTGTGTGGCTGAGACTGGAGACGTTACAGAAGAGACTTCATCTACTTCACTCTCTCCCGTATCAAAGAAGCCACTACGTACTAAATCTTGAGCCAATGTCTCTTGCTCTTCAAATTCATCATACGAAGCATCTAAAAAGTCGTCATCATCGCTCCCACTGACGTCACTGAATGATCGTTCCGTACTCATTCTTCTACTTTTGTGGCTTTTCCAGAACTGATGATCTGAGTCGACAATCTGAGAAAGACAAGGCACTAGAAACAGAGGGACGAGGGAATCACTTTAGTGACTCCCGCCTTACCCGTGACGACGACGTGTAGTGTACCCATTGAAACCTAACAGTTGTACTTGAAGTTGGTATTAATTAGTGACTATACGAGCCCATCACCTAAAAGTGTATACAGTATACATTCCCTGTAAGCCCCTGTATCCTCTACCTACATGAGATGGATGGATCATCCGTCTCCTACAACATAGTAAAGCTCGGATTGGTAGCTAAACGCCTACGTAAATTCTCCGCAATCTTGTCGATGAATTCAAACGTGTCGAGGTAATGCGTACGCTGAATATTATCGCCATGAATGAGCAATGCCAAGTCTTTTGTCATCTGACCAGCCTCGACGCTCTCAATGATACAAGTCTCCAGCTCGTCACAAAAGAGCTTGAGCTCGTGATTGCCATCCAATTTCGCACGATGTAGCAAACCCCGTGTCCATGCAAAGATGCTTGCAATGGAATTCGTACTTGTTTCACCACCTTGTTGGTGGACTCGGTAATGGCGTGTCACGGTCCCATGTGCTGCCTCAGCTTCCAAGGTCTTACCATCTGATGTGAGCAACACACTCGTCATTAGACCCAAAGATCCAAAGCCCTGTGCCAGGATATCAGACTGCACGTCACCGTCGTAGTTCTTGCACGCCCAGACAAAACCACCTTTAGATTTCAGACACTGTGCTACCATATCGTCAATCAAACGATGCTCGTACCAGACCCCTGCTTCTATAAACTTGGTCTCGTATGACGTTTCGTACATGGTTTGAAAAATGTCTTTAAATCGACCGTCGTAACGCTTCAAGATCGTGTTCTTGGTGCTCAAATAGAGCGGCATCTTGCGTTCCAATGCGTACTCAAAGCACGACTGGGCAAACCCAGTAATTGACTCGGTCGTGTTGTACATCCCCATTCCCACACCTCCATCTGTACCTTTAAAGTCATATACATGATACTCTTTTGGCTCAGCTCCATGACGAGCAGGTGTAAAGGTAAGTTTAAAGGTACCTGGCTCATTCGCCAGAAAGTCAATGGCCTTGTATTGATCACCAAAGGCGTGACGGCCAATAATGATCGGCTTTTTCCAACCAGGTACGAGTTTGGGAATGTTTCTGCATACAATGGGCTCACGGAATACAGTACCACCCAGTTCATTACGTAGTGTACCATTAGGACTGAGCCACATTTTCTTAAGCCCAAACTCCTCAACACGAGCTTCATCGGGTGTGATTGTGGCGCATTTGATCCCTACATTGTGTTTCTTAATAGCACGTGCAGCTTCCAACGTCACCTCATCGTCGGTCGCGTCACGATGTTCAAGACCAAGATCGTAGTATTCGATCTGAAGATCCAGAAACGGTAGAATGAGCTTTTCACGAATCTCTTTCCAAATGATACGCGTCATTTCATCACCATCGAGTTCAACAACAGGCTTAGCAACGTGAATTTTCGACAGGTCAGTGGTCATACTGTTAGGAAAGAAGGCAAATGATTGAAAGCTTTTTTGACTGCGTACAAAGATGCAAATGTAAGAATGAGGTCCAGCGTAACAAGTTCAAAGGACCGTTGATAGGAATTCTGAAGCACGTCGCCGTCGTCATCGATCTGGACCTAAAAATAAAGCAATATGATTGGTCGGTACGTCCTAACGTAGGATACTTTCTAAAAAAGTGGCTACTATGGCTGTATGCGTAGTGTCGATATGATAAAAAAAACTTACTTGATAGTAGATGTTCATGTCTACAGCGTAGCACTTTTGTCATCGTGCTGCATGTGTTCATGGGAAATAGTGGCACTTGGGGAACTATTAGATCGTCGCCGGAATGACGCTTCTACTGATACAGCATCATCTGCTGCTTCGATCTGCTCCGAGCTGATACTTTCCTCGAGAGCAGCTTTGTTAATGTCTGCATTCTTGACTTGATCATCGTCTTGTGGGTTGGCCATAAGAACATCTGCGTCGCTTTCAATTTTCTTTACTGGCAGCTTGAGTTTCGTTACGTCGCCCTTCAAAGAGGCGGACTGTTCAATTGGTGTGGTACTCACGCTCGACTCGAGATCAATCTCATCCATCTCATCGTCGTCTTCATCGTCAATAACGAACCGCGGGACACGTGGGTTGGCGTGCGCCATGGGCGTCGAAGTAGTCTCAGACGACGAAGCTTCACCAAAACCTGTTAATGAATTGTTTTTACGTGCGCGGCCAGTGGACTCGCTACCACGTTGCAGCACATACTCTTGGTAAGAGGGCATAAAGTTATGGTAAGCATCGGCCAAAATGTCCGAGAGACTCAGTACCTCCTTCATATTGTTCAGCACTTCCGAGTCTGGTAGTCGATCCAAGTTTCTTTTGAACTGACTGGAATTGAAAGCCAATAGATGCACTATAGCAAACAGCACCATCTCAATACAAAGGATAAAATCCTTCCAGGCAAACGCCTGTTCATTCGTAATGCCCGGAATAAAATCCAAAAGACTATTCTGCCAGAACGTGAGAAACACGACACCCTTGACAGCAAAAAATTTGAGTACAGGATTAAATGGTTCCATAATGTGTTTTGTAGCCAAGTAAAAGATCCAAAGACCGTAAACTGCCACGGAATACGAGATATTGTACACCACAACTAGACTCAATTGGTACATGACGGTATTGTACTTGCCACACGCTAGCATCAGCAGCGATAAGGCTGCAAAAAAGGGTTTAATAAAGATAAATTGGATCGTAGCACGTTTGCAAAGTCTCAGCATCCGTCCGTCTCGACCAATTGGATCAAACCACCGATTTAATGGCCATGGATGGCGAATATCCGGTTCACTTTGCATCTTAAGGACACAAACAGATTCACCACCAGCAAAACTCAAGACAAGAGCGAGAAAACTATAGACCACAAAAGCTTCATAGCAATCTCGAATCGAATCAAAATACAGCGCTTGGTTTACGAATGTAAGGGAGAAGAATGAACCCATGGAATACACGGGTACAATTACGAGAATACGCACAATATAGCGCTGTAATTGAGGTCGGGAATAATGGACTAAATGTTGAATAATGTTATAAACACTTAATAAAGTCGCTAGAATGCAACAACCAAAGGCAATGGAAAGACTAAGAGCACGATGAGTCTCAATCCAATTCAGTGACAGTCCAAATACTTGTCCATCACCTGTTGCATTCCCTCGCATGAGACTCGATTCATTTATTACGTGCATGGACGTCTCCATGACGACAAGAGAGACTTGACTAATGGAGATGAGAAAGGATGCCGATTGGTAGATAAGTGAGATTAAAAAAGAGAGGTAGGTAAATATCAGGTGTAACAGGAACCCATTACAGTGACTTGTAGTGAGTGATACACGAGGTTTTTTAGAGTTTTGCTTACATTTTTTTTTAACATATTTGTATAAAAAACCTAGTACAAAGATGTATATTTATCTAAAACTGTGTAGCTGAACAAAGTGGCATGCCATGGGCTATATATGTACATTACACTATGCGAGTTGTTTCTAGAAAGAAGGGGTGATCTTGTTTATCCATGGTTTAACTCGATAATTTTGCTTGCAAACTGGACTGGATACATTAAAAAGAGGGATAGCCTACGATAGAAGCCTATGATGATGCAAGCATGTAAAATTCTACCTTCAACATGACATTCGATAGTTTTTTCTCTAACTTTTTGTAAAAAAGTGCTTTTTTTATAAAAATTCAACTAAACATCATATAGAAATGTTTGTATAAAGTAATATCATGTAGCAGGTACTCCCCCCCCGTAGTGGAATACTGGCTGGCGTCATGCAGGACTTGTTCAAGTCATGACCGGGTTGTCTCATTTTGCATTTTATCCGAACAATGAGTGCTCATACTAAATATCCTGTCGTTTTTATCCATGGTACATATATATATATCATCAATTATTAGTTCAAGTTAAACGTACTGAAATGTTTGCAACATGTGTCATATTCTATAGGCGTCTTTGGATTCGGACGACAACGTCCGATGTGGGGATATTGGGTTCCCTATTGGCCAGAAAAAGAACTGCAACAAATAAACCCTAATCATTTACTAGTTGACGTAGGTGGGGTGTCATCGGACCACGATCGAAGTTGTGAAATATTTTACCAACTTGTTGGAGGACGTGTGGACTATGGCGAGCAACACGCGACGACAACAGGTCGGACATTTCTTTTAAACAATCGAGAAATTGGTTTGGATTGAATCCTACATTGTTTTTTGTAGGACATGATCGCTATGGAGAGACATTTGATCAAGCAATGTACCCAAGTTGGAGTGAATCGAACCCTGTCCATTTACTAGGACACAGTTTTGGATCAACAACTGCCATTGAGTTATTCCAGATGCTGAGTGCTGATTTTTTTCGAGTTGGTAGTTCTCACAAGTGGATTGCCAGTATCACGTGCATTGCTGGTCCTCTTACAGGTTCGACCTTGTCACATGTCATTGGCATGGAAAATGGTAACGTCGTTCATGGAGGATTCGCCCACCTCATGGCAATCGTATTGGGCTCGTGGCTTCAGTTGTACTGGAAATTCCCGATACTAAAGAAAGCAGCGGACTTTCATATGGATCATTGGAGCAAGTATTCAATCAAGGAGTTAGTGGTGGCTAATGGACCCATAAACTCATCACGTGACCTGGCTGTGCATGGTACGTTGCCAGAGCACCGCATCATGCGGAATGCACAGCTCAAACACATGGACAAACTGCATTTGCTGAGTATTGCGACATCACCAAAGACTTTCCATCGTCCTTATGGTGAAGGTTTTGCACTTGCATTGCTGTTATTTCTACGTTGGGGTAGATTTCGGACATGGTGGCCAGCTTTAAAACGGCTACGTAGTGTACGTGCACTGGCTCATGTAGTGGTTCTTTGTTATCTGTGTTACAAATTGAAAAAGGTGGACGTATCCAAGATCCCAAGTATGTATGGTCTCAAGTGGTTAATCCAACGTCGTGCCAAAAGTTTCTCAATGATCGGCGACGGCTTTGAACCAGGCAGTTGGGAGCTTAATGATGGTGTCGTGAACATTCGTTCCATGCTTCGACCGTGGTTTCCTAAACCACAAGAGATGGAAAAAGAGATTACGGGTCAAAATCAGTCGATCTCACCAGCTCCTTCACTCCCACCAACATCATCATCATCATCTTGTATACTCAAGGATACGAGCGTCTTAAGACGCTGTGAATCTCATATTTCAATTGAGGAATTCCGTGACATGGAGGACAATGACGAACGAGGTTTTCAACCGAAACGGTTTGAAAAAGGACGGTGGTATGTTTATCGTGTGGATAGTAATCATCTTGCTGGAACATATTGGGATAGTCATGCTCCTGATTTGTACAAGAGTCTCTTTACATTGATGAGCAAAGAGTATGAACGACAGGAGGAGGAAAACCCATTGGCTTTACGTGTAGATGGTATCATTAAAAATACTACAGTAAGGAATTGTCTGAGACGAATACTGTATATCATATGGAGAACAATAGTATACTAACAAAAGGTCCAAAAGTAGCACCGAATTCAATAATCAGCGACTAAATAACTAGTAAAAACACTTGTTACAGTGGCCACCTTTTTTGTCTTCTTTCCGAAATTTCTAAAAATCAGCTAGCTATTTCTAACTCTACGTTCTCCGTCTAGCAGTTCGCCTATCTCATCATGAGCTCAACTAATACAAAATATCCCATTGTACTACTTCATGGGGTCTTTGGTTATGGTAGAATCAAACCATTCTGGAATCTCTGGTCACCATATTGGCCCGAAGAAGCACTTGATCAATTAAACACGAATAAAAATCTAATCGTAGAATTAGGAGCTTTATCATCGGATCATGATCGAGCTTGTGAAGTATTTTATCAATTATATGGGGGACAAGTTGATTATGGAGATGTTCATAGTCGAAAAGCAGGTCATGCTCAATTTGGTACCACATATAAATATCCATTACATTCTCCTTGGAGTGCTTCGAATCCTGTGCATTTAATAGGTCATAGTTTTGGAGGGACTACAGCTCTGGAATTGTATCAATTGATATGCTTGGATTTTTTCAAAGTCGGGAGTAATCATGAATGGATCACGAGTTTAGTGTCCATTGCTGGACCACTTACAGGTTCCACAATGATTCATCTCTTTGGATTAAATGACTTCCACATGGTCCCGTATTCATTTGGTCACTTTCTTGGAGCGACTTTGGGAATCTGGTTTAAATTCTATACGCAATGGCCACTCCTTCGTCATGTCTTTGACTTTCGAATGCCACAATGGCAACGTGTCTCCACCTTTCGGGAAATTATATCACCTTCTGGTCGAATCAATCGCTCGATGGATCTTGCAGTGTTTAATCTTTTACCTCGTGAACGAATGACACGGAATGCTCAACTCATTGATATGGACAAGATATTTCTCGTCTCGGTTGTCACATCCAGTTATGTCACAATTCCACGCGTTGAGATGGCTCTGATAGGACTTGTTCTCGTCTTTATCATTACTGCTGTGGTCGGGTTTTCAAGAGGGGATACGGCACTGGGAACCTCTGCCATTATCTGGTCCACTGGAACACTCTTTGCTTTGTGGCGACGTGCTCGAGCACTTGATTACGCCTCGATTCCGTCATTATATACACTATTACTCCTCATGCGTCGTCATGTTCGCATGCTCCACATGATCTTTAATGGATTTGATCGGGATGTATGGGGTGACAATGATGGAGCGGTGAACCTCCACTCCATGCTACAACCTTGGGCATCAGCAATGGACAATTCGTTTGAAGATTCTACGCAACGTGATACCAAGTCGACTTCTTCAACATCGTCGTCACTCTCCACTCTTTCAGAACCAATGCAACTGGATGCAGTTCCCGCTACAAGAACTGTGGATTTGCACTCTGCTCCAAGGTCAAAGGACAAAGGCTTAGGCATCCAAGCAGAAAGTAAGATACCTACAAATCTTGACCCAACGGAACCTGCCAACTTCTCACAGCTGAGACGCGGAATATGGTACGTTCATCGAGTCAACAAGAACCACATGGCTGGGACGCATTTCGATAGCGACTCACCGGCATTATTCCAACGGCTTTTTCGTGTCATGGCAAACCATTTCGAAACCGCCCCTGAAGACAGCAAACCAGAGTAAGTTCCTCTCAAACTTGCGAAAGAAATGTCTGGAAAGCGGTTCAAAAAACAACAAAGCTTGCTTCAGTGCTCAAAAGGTTTCGCTAGTTGACGCTAGTGAGCAGAAGTTGAGCAAATATATGTACATACCCTTTGTCACCTTGTCTTTTCCTTTTCCTACAGCCTGAAAATACCTGCATTTGCTGTCCCTCCATTGCGTCATACGCATTTGTCATGAGTCGTTTCACAACGAACCCAAGATGCTTTGCCGACCGAAAACCTTCTTCTGCCTCTCCTTTCACTATTGACTTCAATATCAGCCACGTTTGGGTTCCATCTTGTCACATGTTATGGTGCCGCATACGACCACTTCCTCGTGTGGCCGGGCTGCGGCCTGGGAGGCCGTCTTGCAGGTAGGAATCCTCCGTGTACGTGAAGCCTTTGAACGGGTCATTGCTTGCGAGACTACTGCCGTACGCGGTACCGTTAGCAGGTCGCCGCCCCACAGCCATCGCCATACCCCCACGCACGTGATTGTCCGGACTCACCACGGGCATATCAGTGAATTCGCGATCAAACTGGGATGTGTCAAGAGCGCCAGAGAAAGTAGGACGCCATGGGGGCGGCACCTGACCTGTAGCAAGTGCGTCCCACTTGATCTCTACAAAAAATGGGTGGTTTTTAATCTCACTCGCATCGGTCGGACCAGTTCCTAGACGTCGCGTCGGATCACGCTCTAGCAGTTTCTTCAGCAAGTCCTTGGCACTCGGTGACAAATATTTGGGAAAACTAAGATCACCCTTGCGAATCTTCTCAAACAGACGGTCACGATCGCGGCAATAGAACGGCGGCAGACCAGTAAGCATTTCATACAGCAATGCGCCAAGAGACCACCAGTCTACAGCTCGGCCGTGGCCCGAGCGGTTCAAAATCTCGGGCGATAGATACTCGGGTGTGCCGCAGAACGAGTTGGCACCTGAAAAATCATCCTGGATGCCCTCCTTGGAGAGGCCAAAGTCTGTCAGACGAATGTGTCCATTCTCGTCCAATAAAACGTTCTCAGGTTTCAAGTCGCGATAGATGACATCCAAATTGTGCACGTACTCAATCGCTAGTGTAATCTCAGCAGCGTAGAATCGTGCGCGGTGCTCAGGGAACCGCTGCACTTTACCAAGATGAAAGAAAAGCTCTCCACCGGCACAGTAGTCAAGCACAAAGTACAATTTCTCTGACGTTTGAAAAGCATAGTTCAGTCCCACAATGAATGGATGCCGCACATAACCCAGCACATGACGTTCCGTGCGTGTATGTTCCACTTGATTGCGCTTGATAATATTTTCCTTTCGCAACACCTTCATAGCATAAATGAGTCCAGTGTCTCGCTTGCGTACAAGCAATACCTTTCCAAAACTTCCTTTGCCAATGACCTTGATCATGACAAAATCTTCCAGTGTCACTTTCTCACTCTTCTTTTGCTCTTCAACTTGTTGTGCATGTTGCAATTGTGTCTCCTTTAGCAATGTCTGTTGGTCCAGTCCAGCACTTGACATATCCGTATTGTAGTCAAACTGAAAGATCTAAAGAAAAACAAAGACACAAGAGATACAATCTCCAGTAGATTCAATAACCTTGTTGCAAACACACCATATTGCAATTGGCACTCACATCATCGTCGTGTAGTTCATCATGAGACCGTGGATCATCGTCCGTGGTCGAGTCAAACATCTCGTCCATATCAAGGTCTCCAATATTACCACCTCTTGGAGCTGCTACTGCTGTGTTTTGCAATCCTAGAGGTGGTACATTGGCATCTGCACTGATAAAGTCGATAAATACATGGGATTGATAGATAGGTGGATGTTGCAAGAGTTGCATCATCCACATGTTTAACTCCACTCGTGTCTTCTCTAATGAGTCTGGAAAGCGTAAATTAAACATACGAGCTGGACACGAGGGTACTGCTTGTCCAAAAATCATTGAAAGCTGTTGACCAAGTCGCTGAAAGACGTCAAAAGATCGATAAACAGTCCAAGAATTGCCATTTCCTTGTTGAATTGTACCATAGAAAACCTAGACAACCAGCAAACGGTTAACGATGAAAAAGGTTGCAATCGAAAGAGGAGAGAAAGGCTTACCACATAATCGGATTGGGTGCCATCACGTACGATGCCAAAGCCCGTAAGAAGCACATTAAGCGTGGCCATGAAAAATTCCAAATGAAAAAAGTGACGTTTTCGGCTTTGACTGGCTGGCTGCTGATCAAAAAGACCGAGAAGATGCGTCACTTGAGTTGAGTATGAAAGGGTAGGAATTCGTTGTGATTGGTTGGAATAGAGATAAATTGATGGGGAGCCAATGAATGAGAGCGAGATAATTAGCGTGTATTTTAGTATCTATTTTTACTAATAAATGCTTTAAAAGTAGCCTTCCTACTTTAATATATTCAGAATTTATCATGGTTATAAATAATAGAAAAGAGATAATGTACGAGGTTTATGACAAGAAATACATAAATAAGTGTAGAAACTCGAGAAATTCTCTTCCCTCGTCTTCATGAAATCTTCTCTTTTCCATTATGATTTGAATAATGTTCTTCAAGAGCTTGTAGTTCAACAGGTAGCAATGGTTACATAGTCGTTTGATCGCATCAGCTGTTATTGCTTTTGACATAAAGCTGTCGCTGATTTCAGCACTATTCTCCTACATAACCACTCATGTCATCCATCAGTCAATTCCCTCCATATCCCTTGACTCCACATATAACAACTTCCTCTTGTTTTTTCCCTACCGTTAGTCGTTCTTCTTTTCCGATTTGTCCATCTTAATTGGATTGTCCTTCTCGTCCACAAGTTCCCATATATCACTCGATCGACGTCGTGGTTTAGGCGTTGGAATCGGATTTCGTGTCGTGTACATGACAAGCACACCCACAGCAACAAGTCCCAGTCCTCCAATTAGTAACCAGTTGACAATTGCTGGTCTAGTACGAGCTCGTGCAGCCTCACGCTCCAACAATGCCACTGTCGGTTGAATGGATAGTCGCATAACCCGCGCTCGTTTCTGCCCTCGTAGTGGCTCTTTCTCGCTCAATTCCCATGCTGCTACCACTGAAAAACGCTCTATTCAAGAGCCAGTCAATAAGTAGCATCAAGTCAGTTCCGATCCCATTATCTTGTCAAAAAGTGACTCGACCGACGAGAACTCACTTTTTCTGTCCAGTAATACTTGCACTTCATAGCTCAAAGGTGTCTCGTCTGTCTCGTGCTCCCCTTTTCTCGTACCAGTGCCCGTCTTGATGACGCCATCAGTCGTAACATCCTTTTTCGCTTGTAATACAAACTCGACATAATACTCGGCTGTTAACGGGCCCGTCTCTTGTTCACTAAACCCTGCAAGTGTATATCCCTGTGCATAGCCATGGCGTTGAAGCTCTTGGAAAGCGCGTCTCGAGAGATCAATATGGAGTGCAAATTGTGGATCGGCTGTCTTAAGTTGCTCCAAGTCGTGATGTTGCCAATGGGGCGTCTCGCTCGGTAGCTTATGTTGCTCGTTCGCACGCTTTTCCACCAATTCTGTGTATTCCGCCGCTGTTAGTGCACGTATGGTGCCGTCTGCTAGCGTCACCGTGACAGGCTCGTCGGCATGTAGCTTACGCGGGGGATCCAAAGCGATAACGACGCCCAGTAGCGCTAACAGCAGCCAAAGCAGACGCATTCTTGAGTTGTGGTACATCAGATACACCTGAAATTGACCATCACTTGGATATATCATGATTGGTGGAAACACATGTGAAGTATAATGATTGGTTGAAACGCATTGAAGGAACTCAGCGATCTTTTGTATAGTAGAATCAAGTGAAGATTATTGCAAAAGATGACGGACAGCACGACACCGCGCTTGCGCCTCGTGGTCGTGGGTGCAACAGACGTCGGCAGAGAAAAAAGCAACGACAAAACATTTGATTCTTGTATGTACGATCTTTTTCTGCCCTTTCTGCCCTTTCGCTTCTACCGTACTGACTCGTTTTTTGTAGACTGTCAGACACAATGTGGTGACGTAATCCTTCGAACGGTCGCGAAACCCCAGACAAAGTCACCTGAATGGCTACAAACGTTTACATTTGGTATAAAAAAGCCATTAGGTGATTGCGTCAGCTTTCGAATCTATGGGTTGAAGGAATGCGGGAGAGACGTCTTATTGGGTAGTACCGTATTGTTACTTAACAAGTTAATACCCAAACAGCAGGTACGGTACAAAAAAAGACCCCCCCCCGTAGCTAGATCGAAAAAATGTACTGATTTACGTGCAATGGATGTCGGTGGTAATTGTAGACGGTGCATAAACTGCCGTTATTGGGTGCAGACGGGACAGTGCGTACATACCAATTAGAGTGTCGATTATGGTACTCTAATCCTACGTTATAACTATCCTTCTTGTCTCTATTTGTGGATCTAGAACTGTGGAGAGCTTCTGGTTGAAGCCATTTATGAACCAATGTTTATACAAACACAAGATACACCAGTGGCCAGTACCAAGTCAGCAACAGTTATAAGTTTATCAGCTCCAATGACGGAAGAAACCGAGTGTCTATTGCGTCCAAATTTCTATGTCGTGACGGTTTTAGAGGCAACAGGATTGCTTGCTTGTGATGGATCAGGTATTGAAGCTACTAGTGATCCATACGTACGCTTGATATGCACAAAGAACCAGTCACAGCGGACGAAAACACAGCAGCAGACACTTTGTCCGTCATGGCGACAGAAATTTTACTTTGTGATTGTTCCAGGCGAAAAGCACGTGTTGGAACTTATTGTGGAAGACAGTGATCTACTCACAAGTGACTTTATGGGACGCTGTGTCATTGACTTGGATGAATTTGCCAATCTTTTTCAAGGAGAAAAGCAGGTGTTCTGGTTAGCCTTGGAACAACAACCTGAGGCCAAGGACAAAAACGTATCAAGTGATTTGGGTCCACAGCGTACAATGAACTATGGAAAAGGCAAGATTTGTGTTGCTATTGAGCTGCAGTATCTTGATCGGGATATCAGCAGTTTGGAGCAAGGTGAAAGTGATAACGTCACAGAAGTTCCAAGTGGCCGTGGTCTGCGACGTTCAGGAAGTTGTGATGATCTTGAAGATGATGGAGGAAACGATGAAAATCATGCAGAAGATACGAACGAAGGAGATAATGACGGTAGAGATGATGATCATGTCGATGCTAGACGGGAAGAAGCTGAAGCTCAACGGAAGCAACGGGAAGAGGAACGTCAAAAGATGTTGACCGAGCTGTCTAATGTGCAGTTTCAATCCGGTGATTACCAGATCCGAGCACGCGTTATTGAAGTGCGTGACTTGCAGCCGATGGATGCCAATGGCGTCTGCGATCCAGTCATTTCGGTTGAGTGTCTTGGACAGCGACAGCATACAGTAGTGAAGCAGAAACAGCTTTCGTGTGTGTTTGACGAGTACCTGTACTTCAATTTTAGGAACTTAGACAAAGAAACTGTCCAGCAAGGAAGCATCAAGATATCGGTGTTTGACGCCGATGGTCCAGGCTTGTCAGCGAACCGATCGTCTATCGCTCGCGCATTCGATGACCTCATTGGATTCTTTTCTGTGGACATTCCTTACGTGTACTACCAGCCAGACCATGAGATGAAGCGAAAATGGGTAGCTCTCATCGGCAGCGGGACAACCAACAGTGATTGTATCCAAGGCTACGTTCTGTAAGTTTATTTTCAGCTCGTGTCAGAGGTCGGGATGCTATCGCTGACCTCGTTGTTCTGTTTTGTAGATTGTCTCTTGTTGTGTTGGGACCTGGTGATAAAATGAAGTTGTATGATCCTTCAGACGACACAGACCCAGCGGAACACTTAGTGAAGTCGAAGGCTGATATCAACTCGATGGTGTTGGTTCCTCCACGCGTGACACAGAAACTGAATTTCTTGGTGGTTACGATTTATCGCGTTGAAGAACTGCCCGACATGGACTACAGCATGATGATGCAGGGAGGCATTGATGGATACGTCCGAGCGTACTTTGCCGGTCAAGATGTGCTGGAGACGAAGAAGGTGACCGTGAAAGGAAGTGGAAATCTTGCAGTGGTATTCAATCAGGAGCTATGGTTCCCGGTGCTCTTGCCAACTATGAGCGATAAAATTTTCCTGTCAGTGTGGGACTGGGACTTGACCACTGCAGATGAGCTTGTCGCCAATATTTTACAACCGTTTTCCTTCAAACAGGTACAACGCTATCCCAAGCAGTTTAAATATCTTTGGGCAAACTTGTACGGCCCTCCAGTGGGATACAGCACCAGCTCCAGCCCGCTTCAGTTGATGCAAAACCACCCTGCATATGCCAGTACGTATCGTGGACGTATTTTGCTTTCGCTGCGCGTCGAAGATGGATTACAATCAACGAATGACGATGCTCACGTTCGAAACCTGCTAACGAATACGGCTATCTTGCCGAGGATGAAGAGATACACGTTGCGTGCTGCGCTATTTTACGGGACGGAGATTCCTGCTTTTAAAAGTAACACCAACTGGAACCGAAATACGCGGATGTCGCTGAAGATTTCAGTGGGTCGTCATAGTGTAGAGAGCTCACGGGCACACAATGTGTCCGGCATTTGCCACTTTAACCAGTATCTTGACATTGTTGACGTGGAGCTTCCAGCGGACCTTGACCAAGTCCCCGACGTGTTTGTGCATCTTATGCGTCCGACAATGAATGAGTCACGCTGTATCTGTTTTGCTCGCTTCAAAGCTCAAGAGTTATTCTGTCAAGACCCTGAAGCACACAAGACCATTGCACCACCTCAGTGGGTTGTGCTTAATAAAGACAAGGTGCTGGATGAGCTGGAGGACCATGACTTTACTGGTAACATCTTGATGAATCTCCGCCTTGACGATGCTACTCAGAAAGAACGCAAGGAAGAGGAAGTTGCGCAGCAATGGCGACAATATGCGAGCACAACGGTGCAGTACATGAAATATGTGCTCTTTGTTCATATTTTCCAAGGAAAATGCTTACCAGCAACCGACTTTGATGGTTTGTTGGACCCGTACGTCAAGGTTGTCTGTGTTGGTTCTGAAGGCCAAGTGAGCACACGTATGTCAACTCGAGATCCTTGCTTCTATGAGACAGTCGTGTTGGATGTCGAGCTGCCTCAGAACGAGATATTTCTGCCCAAGGTATCGCTACAAGTCTATGATTGGGATCGTTACGACGCGGACGATTACGTAGGAGGTGTGAAGTTCAGTTTGGCAGAATTTCCTCAAATGTCTTCATCAGACTATTCCAAGTCTCGCGCTAGTGGTGAATACTCGGCTCCTCGTCCAAAGTGGTTCCCTATATGCTACGAAAAGCCTGGTGATACCCAAGGCGAATTGCTTCTGTCATTTGACCTCGTAAAAAAGGATACACCGGGAGTCATCGTCGAACCTCCTGAGTCAATCCGCCCACCTGCCGAAGAGGCTTTCGTAGAGATCATGTGCCTGGGATGCCGTGGTCTACAGCCAACTGGGTTCATGCCCATTAACACCCCATTTGCGAAGTTCGAAATCGGTGAAATCACTAGAACGAACCAGCCCAAATTCACGAATCCGTCTTCCAAACCGAGCAGTCGCAACCCGAACTTCTTGCAAAGAATTGTGGTGCCAGTAAAAATGCCTCTCGATTCGCTTTTTGCGCCGCGCCTTAATATAACGGTGTACGATCAGCTTCTTGGGGGGTTTTACAAGCCCGTGATCGGTGTTTGCTCGGTGAACTTGAGCAAGAAAATGCCGCTTTCGAACGGAAAACCGAATGAAGCGTACATTCAGGAGTGTAACAAAGGCGTCAACCATGGAAGCAATCCGTTTGTCGATTATGGTGACGACCTATCAACTTTTCCAGGCACAGTCCCCTCCGAAGTCCTAAAAGCTCGATCGTCAAGCGTGCTAGTACCAGATAATAAACGACACAAGCTTCACAAAGCAGGCGTCTGCTCGTCCGGTAGCTTTGGTATTTACGACGACGACGAACTTCCATGCTACATGCATCAGCGTGATATTGTTGATGGTGAGTTGGAAGACACACTTCAGTCTCCATTCGAGACCTTCACACTTTTCCGGGGTTCCATGCCATCACATGACGGATGTGATTCAGCACACTCTGCCGATACCTATCGTCCAGTTGGGAAGTTTAAAGGTATTGTGCGTGTTCTGAAGTCACGTGATGAGCCGCCTCTTTTCGATCTGGATCAATTTCTCAACCCGCAGCCATATCTTGTTCGCGTGTACGTGTTGGACGCATTGAACTTGCATCCAAAGGACGTGAACAACAGGTGCGATCCTTACTTACGGGTGAGTCTCGGAGACGGTAGACGTCGCGATCAGATGTTTGACGACCGCGACAAATACCAGTCAGAGACTCTGACACCAAAGTTTCACCAGATGTACGAATTCAAGGCAGACTTACCAGGAGCGTCCGAGTTGAAATTGGAAGTGCTAGATTATGACTTTTTTGCAATCCCAATGGTTCCTACCGGTTTAAGCAAGGCGCTGAGCACTGCAGTTGGAAGTACCGTAGATGGCGATGATTTTGTTGGCGCAACACTCATCGATTTGGAGGACCGGTGGTTCGATGCCAAGTGGCAGGAGCTTGGTGGTTCAATGGATCGAACTGAGCGCCGCAAGCCGTTGGAGGTTCGTCCTTTGTTTGCACCTTCTAGCACCCTTCCTCAAGGCAGCCTTCGTCTCTGGGTCGATATCTTAACGGGAGCTGAGATGAATGTAGTGAAGCCGCTAGACATTTCGCTGCCACCTCCGCAGATGTTCGAAGTGCGCGTTATTGTTTACAAGGCAAAGAATGTGACGGCCGGGGATTTCTCGGATCTGAGCGACTTGTTTGTGAAATGCTGGTTTCAGAATCGTGACGATAGATCACAGAGCACCGACACACACTGGCGAGCCAGGCACGGGCGTGCATCGTTCAATTGGCGCATGAAATTTGATGTGAAGTTGCCACTGGACCCAGAGAAGGAAGCTGATCGTGGTTGCCTTCACTTGCAGATGTGGGATCGCGACATCGTCTACGATGACTGTCTTGCTGATGCCGTGGTGGACCTTACGTCGTTCCTTAAGGAGGCCTTCAAAACGAAGCAGGCAGTTAACGTATTTGCAAAACCAAAGCCCATTCGTATTCGCGGAGATGAGAGCATGCCGTACGAAAGCACCTCGCGTCGATTGGGATACTCTGCTACCGAAGATGCTACTACTGTAGCCCATTTGCAATCACCTCGGTCCAATGAAGTTGTCATCTCTGTTTCAAATGAAGACGGAACGGATCCGGACAAGATGCCTTTGCTTTCTGGAAACCATACAACTGATGACGACGACGATGATATCGAAGAGAATGATGTGGATATTGACATGGAGAATGCCGAATCGCTCGTGAAATCATTCATGCATCGTCTTGGCATGGGAGATGATCCGGAAGATGCGAGTTGGCTTACTATGACAACCCGTGACTCCATCACAGGTGACCGTGTTCGTGCTGGTGAGCTACTGGTGTCAGTAGAAATTCTACCGAAACATGTCGCGGAGATGCAGGCGGCTGGATTGGGACGAGGAGAGCCCAACAATTTTCCATTCTTACCAGAGCCTGCCGATCGACTCCATCTCTCAGCAGTGTGGAATCCTTGCTATGTGTTGGAGGCACTGATGGGACCCAAGTATTACCGTGCTTTTGCCTCGTTCTTTCTTGGTACGATGTCCGTCCTGCTCGTGTTGTTTACTGGACCTCTTATCAACGTGCTCTTGACACTTTTTGAGCTCGTGCCGCAGCCATTTGGACTCATTTTCTTCTTCGTGGTGCTGATACTGCTCCTGATTCTTCTCATGTATCTGATCTATCGTTGTCGCCGAGCACTCGTCCGATTTTCAAGTCGAGAAGACTCTACGTCAAGGACCAAGAGTCGAAAGCGAAGAGCTCGTCGCTAGATGGCACCACGGTCACGTATTACTATCGGTCACGTATTACTATTTGGTATGATTACTACTTTTCTTTTCATTTCATACAAAAAATATCATTTCAAGTGGTAAAATATAATAGTACTTGGACTCAGATTCTTCTTGTCGTCTTGTAAAAGTTGCCACTTTGCACACGTCAACTTTTTCATTCGCTTATTGCAAATGTTATATTATAATGTAAACTTTTCTCCCCTTCGATAAAGTCCTCACTCTATTTTATCGTCTCTGCCTTAAAATAAATGTGGCGGATCTTCGTCCGTCGCTCGATGCGGCCAGCAGCTCTTCTTGGCCTTAGTTTCTCGTCGATTTCTTCACTTAATGAGCCCGTTTCAACTTCATCAGACGCACCAATAGATGAAGATTCTATCCCGTCCTTTTCCGTCGATAAAGTGCGCCTTTCCCGTCGTTTTACCCGTCGAAAACAGTTAAAACATCATCGTTACGTGATAATCGGGTCCAGTACGGCCGCTAATACAGCAATTGAAGCGATTCGACAGGAAGATGCAAGTGCTGATATTCTGGTTCTTAGTGATGAGAATGCGCTCCCTCGACGGGATTTTGGGAGCTTTCAAATGGGACGAACTTATGACGAGAATTCCAGTGATGCTGGTGAGGAAGAAGCACTTGCTCCTGCTTTATTGGAGAGTTACAATGAATGGAGACGACATCTCAGTGCACGATTTGAAGAAGATACAGTTGCAAGTACTGGACCGGCACCTTTGACCTTGTTATTGGACAAGCGGCCATTGGAATTTGATGTGGAAAAGAATCGTGTGTTGCTTGGAGACGGCACGGAAATCCGGTACGAACGGTGTCTTATTGCATCGGCTGGACGACCAAGACATTTTTACGTGCTGAATAGTGACCGGGTGTCGTACGCACTCAAGGACCGCGTGAATACGTGTACAAGTCGTGCGGATTTTGTCCGACTGGATCAGTTGTCGACTGGTGAAGTACGGAGTGTGCTGGTTATTGGTGCAGGTTTTTTGGGCTGTGAAGTGGCCTGTGCACTGGCAACGGACCCACGCAATGATCATGTGAAGACCAAATTGGTGTTTGTCGAGCAGTCACCGGCGGCCAGGGCGTTGCCACCGTATCTTGCAGAAGAGCTTGCACGACGTCTTAGTCGTGCGGGTGTCGAAGTCGTGCCGGACAAATTAGTCACGAGCTTGAGACCAAGTGTGGACGATGATGATAATGAAAATGATAGTGGGGTGACGGTCGGGGTGCTTGGAGGAAAAGACAAGCCTGAAGCTGTGCTCGATGCAGATTATGTGGTGCTGGCATCGACGCACACGGACCCAGCTCCGACGCTTCGATTGGGACGTGCCACGAGCACCGGAGGCGGGCTTGAGCGGGACGAGAAGAATGGCGGTATTGTCGTAAACGCTCAATTGGAGGCTGTTTCTGGTCTTTTCGTTGCTGGTAACGCGGCGAGTTACTTTGATCCGTACCTGGGAAGACGGCGCGTGGATCGATACGACCACGCCGTAAACAGTGGGCTCACAGCTGGACGCAACATGGCCAGGTCTCTCCGCGGTGCCGGCAAGATGAAGACGTACAGACACCAGCCCTTGTTTCGCAGCCACTTGACCGGCGTGGGCGTTTTGATTGAAGGTATTGGGGAAGTGGATTCGTCGCTGCGAACCGTGGGTGTGTGGGTGCAGCCGCCAAATATCGGCACTGGGAGTGATGGCACTCAAGGAATGCCATGTGAGCGTGGTGTCGTGTACTACCTCAAGGGCAACAAGATCATGGGTATTCTACTGTGGAACGCGTCGGACGTGCTGGAAAGTGCTCGTCAACTCATGTTGTCGAGACCAGAGATGCGAGACAATGTGGTGGAGGAGCTCAAGCACACAATCTCTCTTGCGCCGAGCGACTGGCTGCACGTGGTGTCTACGTGATAAATGCGGCAGGCGTGAGAGCATGTAGTATGGTGTTGGTGATGTCTGTGAATGGTCCAGCGGCGTCACACTCCGTCTGCGTTATGAAGAGCGATTTAAACATCGGCGACCTGGAATCTGAGAGCTTTGCACAGACAGGAGAGGCCACTAGCAGCTAAACATTAAATATGACAATGGAATGCGTCAGGTCGATTCAAAAGCCGTGTGCGTTCGCCGCAGACACATGACAAGGTGTCGTGACAAAACCCATGACAGGAATGTACTGGAGACGCTTTTGTAGTCATCACCAAAAAATGTTCATGTCTAGCCAAAGTTACAGCACCAGTGAGCTGCTCATGTCGCCGATGCACACTCTAAAGCCCATGTCATCATGACCTAAGGCCACAGGATCACTACGCTCGAAACTACATGTTGATCGAGTTGAAAACGGAACAAGCAAAGCTCACATATAGATATATTAGTCTGGGAATCGATAAATATCGCAGTTCATAATGGTTGCATTTGTGCTGCCTACTTGCCGATGCCGACAGTCAGAGAACGCGTTGAACGCAGGCCCACTACATTGAAAGCGAATGGCTGAGAGAAGGTTCGCACGCCACGGAGGTTTCCAGCGGCATTGGTGGGTGAAGGTTTGGAAATGCGACCGCTATCCCGTTCCTTCAAAGCCGCTTCGGTGTTGGCCCTTGCCACTTGGTACGTCGACTCTACGACATTATGCAGATCCTGCATCTGCTGGAAAAGCTGGTGCTGGTAGACGGCATCTCCAGAAGACGAGACTTCCGTGTGCGCGCGTTGCATCCGGGACTGCGAGTTCTCGCAAACTCGTTCGGCATCAGTTTCGGACTTGTCCTCGTACTGAGACAGTATCTCAGCAACCGGAGCAGCTTCTACCACTTCCACCTCAACGGTCATGGCCATATCATGCTGAGCGGCATCGCCAGGATGCACCGACAATGCCATCGGCATTGACTCGTCATATCCTTCTGGTAGCTGTTCCACCATCTTGGTCTCGTCCTGCGTCAGCGCAAGCGTTCGATTGCTCTCTTCAGGTTGTTGAACTTCCTCGTCATCCTGCAAAAGCTCTAACGGATTCCCTTCTGGTTTGTTTGGCTTCTCCATCTCCAAAAGCTCCCTCTTCTCTTCTTCGTGTTCAGCCTCTTCCTGCTTTTTTTCCTTCGGCTCTGACTCCGATTCCTCTTCCTCTTCGTCTTCTTCTCCTTCAACAATGGGTGTCTCGCGCTGAGACTTTGGAGCGTCACTCGTGGGCGTTTCACACATTTCATAGTCGTCGTCAAGCACAGCAACCGACGACGCATTGCTCAAACGTCCTTCACCTTCGTCACCACTCTCAGATTCACCGTAATCCATAGTCTCTTCCTGCTCGATTTCATTCAACTCATCCACAAGGTCCTCTTCACCCACGGACAGAACGTAGTCGAGATGCCGCAGACTACGAAGGTTCATAGTCATGCGGTGGTCCAGCACTACAGGCTCCTCCTTCTTGACTGCTCTCTTATCAACAGCAGTAGCTTTATCCATTCCAAGGTCATCGAGCGAAAGAGAGTCATTCGTCCTTGTTGTGCTTGACAAGGGGCCAACACTCATGTCATAGATGCTAATCGACGACTTCGTGGACAACCGGCCACCCACGATAGGGCGCTGCAGTCGTATCGAACACTGAGTTGACGTGAATGGAAGAGGACCGACTGACAATCCCCCCATCATAGATTCTTCAAACTGAGGCTCGCGACTCGGACGTAAGCTGCTTTGGAAGCTAAGACTGCTCGTGGCAGCACTGCCTCGGCTATTCATCTCACTGCCACGGCCCAGCACTACGGCAGCGTACAAGTTTCTTTCCGCTGAGAAACTGCTTCTCGGATGTGGTGCCGAGACTGCCGACGATGCACGCGTGCGACCACGGGTACGAACCCACAACTCTTGACGAGCGATCTCCAATGCGCTCTCATCGCTAACACTGGCAACGCATTTCTTGCAAAAGTTGATGGATGACTGCGTGACCTGAGCATTGAGTGTAGTGCTGCTAAGCTTGCGTACGATACGGCAGCGATTGCATATTTTCTCGGAGCACAGTTGACATGAAAGTTTCGTGAAAAGGATACCAAGCTTGCCGTGACAAACACCACACCGATTTCGGTTTGCAGTCAAGCTGTAGTTGCTGCGTTCGGAGACGGGCTCCATCGTCTCATGTGCAGACAATTCATTCACCGACGTCAATGCCGCAAGTCCTCCTCGAGAAGATGTGGTGACGCTGGATCTCGAGGCTGATAGGCGTTCATTTTGCAGGTAGAACGCGAGCTTCTTGTTATGTGCACAGCTCACAGACTTCCAGCAGTTACTGAGAGCCGTAGCTGCCGATCGCACTGCCATTCGGTTGAGGATATGCCCACTTGGGTCAATGGAAGCCGTCATGAATACCTGGACATGGTTGTTACGTGTCTCCTCGAAGATGTAGCAGCTTGACACTTTGGCGCGTAAGATACGGTGCTCATGGAGTTCACGACACGTTGGGATATGGATCGAGTGCATGAGGTGAAAACCCACGCGGGTGTTGTCAGGGCGCATCATGACACCCGAGAACTCGAGCACTACGAAATCTCGAGGCAGGACAATGCGAGCAGCGCCGCGGTATTTGGCCCGCACGAGCCACTTGATACCTAAAAAGCGGAACGGGTCGGCTGGCGACGGACTCTTAATCTCTCGCAGCACAGAGCAGTCGGCAATGTGCTCGCCAAGGTATGAGCTACGCAGGCGAGAGGACGACGCGTTTGGCGACGCAATTCCGTACATGACATCGTCTAGAGAACCACGCAGGTTGCCGACCGCGAGCAATCTCGGCAGGCCCGAGTCGTCCTCATCTGTGCTGGAATAAGCCCCCGTCGTGATTCGCGGCTCAGATAGCAAGTCACCACTGCTGCAGCTGTCGATACCGGTTGTATCGCGGCTGTCTTCGAAGGAGTCCATGCCATAAGATGACTTGTTTTTCCGGGGCGACGAGGGTCCGTAGCTGCGTGTGATGTTGGCTGAGATAACACGGTTTTTGTTGTCCGACATGAGGCGGCCTCGATGTTGACTAGGTCTACTGGCGTTTACCGAGATGGTGGTCTGGTACAGCGCAAGACTGGTCGGAGCCTGCTGACCGACACTGTCTACGTTGCACTCACGGTAGATGGAGACACCATCGCGCGAGCGGACGGGCTTCCACCGTTGAGAGTCCACACGTTTACGGTCGTGCACGACAAATTGATCGTACTCGGCGAGTGTCGCCTTGATGAGTGTGTTGGCAAGCTGTTCAAAATCAGCCTCTTGGTTCTCCGAGAGGTCCAGCGGAGGAAAAAGGTTCTTGGGCAATGGGAACTTCATAGCGTCCGCGTCGCTACGGTGGACAAGTTTCTGAACTTGTCAAATCGATATACGCTGAACCAATTGCTACTTGAACCGAATGCAACTTGCCCTGCAACACTAGAAGCCGTGGCCCTGATACTAGTAGTGCAATTTGCTAGTGACGGATTCCAAATCAAGCGCTTCCTGGCTGCAGTCGTTTTGGTGAATGATAACACGACGGCGGAAGAAGTGCGCTGGCTAGATTATACAAAGTGCTATCTGAGCTGGGTGCTCTGCAACAAGGAGCAGATCTCAAGCACGATTCAACGTTACGACAATTGCTACATCGTTTTCTACAGATGGGCTTTGTAGACACAATCTCATCTAGCTGCATGAACCTTCACTACGTCGCTTACGTGCATGGTATGGGCTTCGTTTTAGCATTATAAGACCTGCTTCTGACTTGCCTGTACTTCGCAGATCGCTCGTGCCATTCCTTCACGAGCGACAATAAAATTTGACAATGTGAAGCATCTGAATCAAGTTGACGGTTCTGTAGTGAGCAACAACATGTAAGCGAGCTTTCAAGAGACGGAGAGTAGCGCTACGACGACTTTTCCGTCTGCTAACTGAACCGTCTTCTAAACACGATACACTACAACAGTGAACTCTATGCGACAGGATAAAGTCGTGATGGCTGTTAACATTGTTGTTGTTGCTGCTTGATCTTTGTCGGTTGTTCATGTCTTCAATTAATCAGCAAGACATGTTGCTAGCAAGATGTGTGTATGATTCTATCCACATGTCACGAGCAAGATGTGGGCCTGTCCTTTGATACCTCTTCGGTGTAATGGTAGCCCACATCACACGATGGGATTGCGTACAAGTACAATAATTGTCCTGCTCGGCATTTTGCAAGTATGTTTGGATAGGAATTGGTCGTCACAGTGTTTTTGTAAGAGACGAATCCACCAGCCCGTCATATGCGCGAGCTGCTTGTAACTGTCTGGCTTGTTCAGCTGTATATGAACGTCATGTGAAGGGCGTAGAGCCCACAGTCAGCAATTGAAACGTTGAATCGGTAGCTGGACACAGGAAAACGTCGTCTCGTGCCCATATTCGGAGCATAAAGTGGCGAGGCCGTGCTGGGTTGTGGTCTCTAGCTTTTGTCTCCACACGTCTGTGCATGTGTTTGTGTCAAAGTGTCGTTGCCTGGGCGACCGCGTAGCGTAGTGAAGGTCTTGAACAGCGCTTTAGCCTTTCGTCGGTCGTTGTAAAAATGCTCGGTCGTATTTGATGCCTCTCTTGCCAAATGACGTGCCAAGGATAAGAGCTTGTTGGCACTGTCCTACCACCATAGATCTAAGCGCCGACAGCCTTCAAAGGCTTTGGTCGGACGCATTGCTTTGATCGTCAAGCAGTCCTCTTAAGATAAATTGATTGCTACCGTAGCCGTAGCATTTAGGCATTCACGTCGTGTTTAGTGGCTTCTGAAAGCGATGGCTGTTCACTGTAGGCTGTGCGTATGCCATTCCGAGGAAAGCGCATCGTGGTCGAATATAGGCTGACACCGTAGTAGATATCGTTCTGAACGTTGACTGTCGTTGCGTTCGATGCGACGAGTAGTGCGACCTGCAGCGCAGAAGCGTTATGTTTATACAAGAGAACGCATGACGAACTGCCACTAGACTTGTCAGCTACGAGAATGACCGAGAGTGAAGTGGCTATTCCATCGGCTTGACGCTCAATGCTTCGTACTACAGTCGAAACGAGCTGCGGGACAACTGCAATTGAATAGCTTTACTTCCTTCGTATGTGTCCAAAGACTCAAGTGCAGGTCACCTACGTCTAATGTAGTAACACTTTTGTTTTTGAACAGATTGATGGCAAGAATTGAAGGGGACAGTGGAAGACCACACACTTGATACGTTACAGTCTATACGTGGAGATGGAAGCTACCGAAACTTGCACGCCAGGATTGAAGGATGGATACCAAGTAACGAGCTTGAGTTACTCTATGCGCCATCTGAAGCTGCGATGGATCTGCAGAACTTCGGAGCGAGTAACGAATAGTACACTAGTTAAGAGTCAGCGGATCAAAAAGGTTAGAGCCAGGGGTGGGGGGGTGACACGCGTAGAGCAGTACGCAGAGCAACACGTAACAGCGAAGCTAATGGGGTCGTCTCGATGACGAAACAAACGTATAGATGCATCTGACACATGGTAAATGACATGTTTGTAGACCAGTGCATGCCCTACAAACATGGATCGACTACCTGGAGTGAGTGGGTTTCTAGTAATATGTAGAGCATTATTGTGACTCTATTTCGATATGCCACGACAGCCACAACGGCTTGCATATCTGTAGCTCTGACACGATAACTCGCCCAGATCACGACATGAAGTATATTCAAAGTCAAAGATCTGCTAATTGATGGGGTTTCACGATGGTAACGTCAGATGGCTATGCGTAAGATGACCCTCGCTTCAACTTGCCATACATTGTGAACAAAGGTCTGCGGAAGCAAGTACGTCATTCTGAGTCGACTATCGTAGAAGGATCTATTTTATACGGTCGACCGTAAGCGGATCAGTAGCGAACGAAAGTTGTCGCAACGACTGGGGTAGACTGGGAAGTGACCTATTGCTGGCAAATTCGAAAATGACAGTAAAAATGGAATGAACACCGAACAACAACGAGCTGCAGGAAATTTAGCAAGAGCCAGAGAATGTTGCTATTTGACTGTGATCTTGTAGTAAAGCACGACGGCGGCATTCGTATGGTGGGTGGTATCGTTTTTTTAGCACCAACTTTGTAGCTCACTTTGTTACATTTTAGAAAAGATCACCCCACGATTTGCCGTTAAAAATCTTCCTTTTCCGTTACTCACTTCAACATATGAAGCATACAGTAGTTTACCTTGAGAGAGATAGAGAGAGAGAGCATCTCATTCCTTTAAAAAGTAGCAATAAATTGTTGACGAGTGCTTACAATTAACAACACAGGATGCAACTGTTGGGGGGGGGGGGGGGTAAAACCCACGTTGAGTATTTGAACTTTCTTGTCTGACCATCGTCGTCCCACTAGAGACGTTTAGTTTAAGTCTCATTTCAATTTGGACCGTCTGAAGTGATTCCTATGATGAAGCTTGAGCTTGAGAAGCAAAGAGCTTTTACCACTACAAATAGTGATGATGTTAATTGTATTACCACCACCATCACTCGTGGTTCACTCCAGACGTCAAGTGACTATATAATACGTGCACAACAATTTGCCGATGCACGTGTACACGAGACACTTCGCAAGTATTATAGTAATCGTGCAGCTGCTTCGTATTCGTCCGAGGATTCCCCCGGTGTTGATCGTTCCAAGTGGAAACCAGTCAAAGGAGGTGGTCGACATCATGCTATCTCTTGCTACAAGAAAGTAATCTCTAGAGGCTCTTTTAATGGTTTCAAGAGATCTCACAGGAACAAAAAGTCCTTGAGTGCCAAGGACACACCGTCCGTCTCTGATCAGGCTGAGCTGCTTGCTATTGGAGTCATGCCCGGTACACTTGAGGATGTACTACACGGTATTGTGAACCTCACACCTGAAGCCATGCAGATTGAAAGTGCACACGCCCAGTGTGATCTACTGGACAGCCGCGTGCTGACCACGCTCGTGGCTCCCTCGACCGATACACCGTTCCGCTCACTCACACTCAAGTGGGCACTGCGCCATCATGAAGTACTGTCCAGACATCGAGACTATGTGTACATGGAAGCCACTGGAGTACTGCGCGATCCACAGGACAATGGCGCAAAGGTCGGCTACCATCTCGTGCACTCGGTGACGCTGTCGTCTGCTCCTGAACTGGCACCGGAAATGCAAATCGTGCGCGGCCACTTGTCGTACTGTTATCTTTATAGACAGCACAGCGAGACCCAAGTCAAGCTCTTTTTTCACGGAGGAATGGTACCACGTGGGGGTGCAAAAGACCGTTTGGCCTTTGCTCTGATGTCGGAAGCTGTGCTGGCTGCGCCCAGTGCCATCGAGTGTGCAATGATGAAAAAGCTGGCCTTTTCGCTGCGTACCAAACACCTAAGAGCTTGTCAACCGCCTTCGCTGTCGCTGAGTCATCGAGAGGACAACTTGGGTCAGATCCGCGGACAAAAGAGCACATCTGGCAGCAGCATATTACGCGCCTCACCGACGACTTTTGACAGCAACCGCAGCAGTAGGGCATTTGATGGAGGTCTCAGTGGTAGCAAGTGCCGCGTGTGCCGTCGCTCTGTGCGGGCGTTTTTCAGTGGAAAAGTCACTTGCTGCGAAATGTGTGAAGAACCTGTGTGCAACCGCTGCAAAGTGAACAAGAAAGTGTTTGTGTTTCAGAGAGGTGTGCTTCATCCACAAAAGATGGACTTCTGTTCTGAGTGCGTGGTGACTACAAACCGCCTAAACGCTGAATGGGTCGCGTCACAGGAACTTACTGACGATGTGCGACCGAGCGAGGGAAGTAGCTCGTCGTCGGAAGAACAAGGCTCCAAGGCTCCAAATCTTGGTCTAAAATCTCGGAACGGCGGTATGTCGAGAAGCAATGGAAGCCGGACCACTATGTCCTCGGACAGTCAAATGGAGCAATCGGCATCTCCATTTGTTGTATGGCTTCCAACTGACTACTTGCACCCGCGTCTCACTTGCATCGACCCGATGGATAGTGAGTTAGAAGACAATTATCCAAGTGACGAAAACCCTGAGAATGAAGGCTACAATTGGTGCATGGAAGACAGTTTTATTGACACGGAGGCATTTGTGACGATCGATGACGATGACGCTATTCCCATGATTGACGTTTCATCTGAGGATGAGGAGGACTAAGTGCACAATGCAATGGATTTCGTGTACGTCACCAAGTGCTCGTAGAGATTTTGTTTCTACGTATTTCGAGGTGGAAGGACGATATGCCGAGTCAAGCTAAATGGACTGTAGCAGTCTTTTATAAAGAAGTGGACGAACAACAAATAGATGCGGATAATCGTCCTCTTATTTAATCGAGCAAGTGAACTCAATATACGTACTGAATAGCTCAGCTCCACTAGCGGTCTCTATTGGCTTTTCGTCTTCGCTCTAATTATGATGTTACAACGTTAAATTGCTGTTGCTATAAGCCGAAAGAATAATTTTACTCTATAAGATACCGGTTTATCAAGGCTGTAGTATACTATATCAGAGTCGTTGGGTGGGTGTGTAGGATCTAATATTACTATATTCACTGTATGCTCACTGACTAATATTTATCACAGCTCAAAAAGCCGTACAGATTTCAGTTTTCTAAATCTGATCCTCTCACATCATGTACACAACACAACATATTAGAGCACCGCGAATCAGCTGCCATCGGTTCCCATGCGCTGCGCCGACGGCTCCAAACTTCGCGCCAGTCGCGTACGTCGTCAGCGTAATCGTGAGCATAGTCTGGAAGAGGATGAGCTGGAGAAGCGCTTTAGTAAAAGCGCGAGTCTGTCGCTGTCGGCGCACGTGTTCGTCCCGGCCGCAGAGCGCGTCAGCCATGCGCCAGTCGCAGCAACTTCACCCCAGCGCTCAATGGAGTTTGTGACGGACCGACGTGGATCGAATGCGTCCATTTTAACCTCCTCTTCTGTATCTTCTGCTGCTTCCTTTCGACGTCCAAGACGCTCGGCTACAGCTGTAGCCGCTGCTAAACTTCACAAGAACATTACAGCCAAGACGACGCAGGAGACGAATGATCGACGTAATAGCAGCAATATTCATGCACCAACGAAGTCCAGACGACAGAGATTAGGTACCAAGGGACAGACGCAATCGTCGACCAAGGCCGCTGCAGTGACGTTGCATGAACGACATCGACGCAAATTGTCGCTTACGTCGATGGAATTGCAGACTCAAGAGCTCCAGACTTTCGAACAGGAAGCAAAGACTGTAGTGTCTGGACATGATGTAGAAGAGGTATACCCTGACACAGCAGGAAGTGCCTTCCCTCAGCAGCTCACACTCTTTAGTCAACAAAAGCGTCTGCCACAGCGAGTGGTGAGTCGCGACGATGTTATCGACACAATCTTCAAGGTGCTCTTCGCTCATACCAATGGACGGCGCGATCGACCACGACAGGTACTTAGTGCTTTTGGTGATGACACAGGAACAGATGAACCCAATGAAGAGTTTGTCAAGAGGGGACTTGCTAATGCGCTTTTCAAAGATCAACTCAATCTTCACGCACCGTCGTCGCTATCGACTGCAGTATCTCCGGCTGCAACAGTGGATAGTCTTATTACGCCGACATTTGTGCACGCGCTCGTGAACGCACTGCGCTTTGAGGATTTTCGCACTGCCAGCGTGCGACTCGACATTCTACGCGCCATCCACAAAAGCTGCCCCACCAAAAGACTACACCTCACACGAGCACTTGTTGATGCCACAACATTGCGCGTGGAGTACGTGACGGCAGTTGCGGCGCGTATGCAGACGTTAGGTGTCGAGAAAACATCGACACAAGTCATCGCAGACCACATACATGACCACGGACACGGTTTCACCGAGTTGCTGCGGTACTCGATCGAGCACATGGAGGAGAGTTTGCTAGAGACGCCGCCTTTGGAGGGGTCGGATGCGGCACAGGAGCAAGAGGAGCAGCAAAAGGAACTTGTGCGCAACTGCATCGCCAGCCTCGTTTCGCTCTGGCGCGCACACTGGGTCGATCCTGCGGGATCCGACGACGAAGAACTCATTACTTGTGCCGGCCAGTCCGTGGCGTACATGCCGTCGGTCACAGGTCCACTGCTCCAGCGACTGCTGAGTGCGTGGCCTACTCGCTACCCAAAGCAAGAGGTGGGAGCTACGCGCATGATAGCACGAGTCCTTATGTCTGGCCCTCCACTACAGCAAGTGGATCCAACACTAGTGCTGCAGCGCCGTGTCTTCACACGACTGGCGCGTGCTGTACAAAGCCTGAATGTTGATGTAGCCAAGGAGGCGCTGGCTTTCACTGGGTGCCAATTCGTTCTAGTGCACTTCTTGGGGCGAGATGAAGTCATCTACAAAACTGTGACCAAGGCACTGCATCTCAACATCGAGAAGCACTGGCACCAAGGCGTGCGCAATACATCCGCGACGAATTTTGACCGGGCACTCGATTTTGCGTCGTAGCAGTCTCCATTATCTCAACAAAACGTATTAGTAAACAGCAAATAGAAGTAGATAAATGAAATAGACAGACAACAACAACACACAAACAAGGAGGGAAAAAAACTAATAGCAGTGGACGGCAAACTTGTCAGTATACATACAGACACCTTACTGGGTTATATTTTCCTGTCACCCCTCACTCGTTCTCACGCTTGCCAGAGCAGCCACTAAAGTCAAATCCACAAGCCATCGAAATGACGAGATACACGACAAAAAGTCCAGTAATCACAAGCAGCATCCAGAGCTTCAGATTGCGTCTCCACATCATCTTTACGAGATTCGTCGATGAGCGTTCAAATTTCACGGATTGACGATTCAGTTTATCGGTTCGATCCACTAACAATTCAAATTTCTCCCCTCGTTCCAGTACTTTGTCAATATTTTCAACCATAATGTCCTTGACATCATCAATCTGCTGCTTCACGCGTGAGAGCGAATCAGCATCGGGATTCGTATTGTAATAATCCATTAACCGATGAATTTCATGTTGAAATTCCTCATTCATGGCAAATGCAATGGCCGTGACGGTACGTGCACCATATGTTGCTTGAAACCGGTTTTTCATGTCGTCCAGGAATAAAAAAGGTACACGTCGCTTCAGCTCATTGTCCGCCATACAAAGATAAGTAATACCGTCTTGGACGATATAATGGAAAATGTGACGATCATATACGTACGACATTCGGCCATCTGATGGTGGAATTTTAGCTAAAAGAACACGTGTTACCGTGGGAAAATTACCAGATGTAGCTGTATATTCGGCCAGGACAGTCTTCTCACGTGATACGAGCGCATAGACGATCGGCATTGTGAATGAGAATTAACTTGATTTAATTATGAGAATGGTTTTGTCTGAGGAAGAAAGGAAGAAAAGAATGGTATCAGATTCTGAGAAACTGGCGACGTGGTAGACCTATTCTCTCTATGGAGGGAGAGTAGGGTTGTTAGATCAGAGCTCGACTATTTTGTTTTGACTGATCTAGAATAACTTATTTCAGTACGTTTGGTTCCTCATCTACATGTATGTATGTATGTATGTATTTTGCTGTATGAATGAATCTGGTTGTCAGACTTGGTCACACTGCATCATCATCTCGTGCTTCTCGATAAGCTAGAGCCCAAATTAGTACAATCAACATTGTAAATGATAAGACATGACGATTCTACCTCATGTAAACAAAAAAAAACTCTTACCATCATCAGCTTTGTGCGGTCGAACTGGTTGCGAAACGGATACGCTAGCTTGTTCAGTACCAGTAGCTCATCGCGCAGCTTGTCAACAGTCCAGTTCGCTGTTTTTTCCACCAGTTTTGTCAAGACTGCTGCCATTCGAGCCTATAAGAAAACATTCACAAGCATATTCAGTCATCACTAGTCCTTGTCAACAACTATCGATGGCCGTACCTCATCATAAATAAAGTCTGGTGTCTCCTGGACGTTCATAGCCGGCTCCTCGTCACGAACGTCAGACATTGGCTCGTTAGCGTTTAATTCACCAGCAGAAGATTTCTCCTTATATGGAGACGCTTCCTCAATCTCAACGGTCTCTTCATCACTGCTAGTTCCGCCAAGAGCTTCGTCGGTCATCATACGTTCCGCATACCGAAAACCAAAACATTTTCTCGACAGCTCAGGGTCTGCCGAAACGTACTCCAGCGCTTCTAATACACTATTCAGGGTCACGGACTCGCCATTACGCTTCTTGCCCGGAGTAAACACGACACGCTGGACGGCCAAACCGGACTCCTTGCCCGATGCTTCAATGATATCAAAATTGTCGTCGCGTCTCCACCCGTCCTCTTTCAAAAGAGGCCACAATAGTTCATCGAAATAATCTGTCTCGTCCATTCGCTCTTCATCCTGGATGAGTCGCACGGAACCAGCCGGGTCTGTCGAGTTGTTGGCCACAGACCGCTGCGTTTTCACCGACTCCATCACTGCGTCGTCCGTTAACCGTTTAATGTACTTCACACTGACGGCCTTCTCGCTTCCACCGAGAATGTACTTGACATTGTATGTGCCGTCCTTATTCCGGCTCAGCACGACACCAGCGCCACCCTCACGGTTGATACCGGGGTGCGTCCGACTAGTCACAAAGATTCGATCACCCTCATCAAATGCTTCTTGTTCGCTATCTTCCTCCTCCGTCTCTATAATTGCTTTGTTGACGTCCGGCTCCTCGCTGCTTTCCGTCTTAGTCCGTCCTTCTTCTTTGCTCCTTTTTTTGTCTTCCTCCTCCTCTTCATCAAACCACTGCTGGGCTCCCTTGCTGTTTTGAGTTTCTGAAGGCTCCTTCTTTACATCAACTTCATCAATGGTAAGCTTACTTGCGCTTGCTGTCGCACAAGAAATCGCTGCATTCATATCAATTTCAGGGGCTTTCACACCACGAAGCCGCGCACTAACGCGCACGCAGGGCTTTTCAGGGGCTTGAACGTGGTTTGTGCGGGTGTTGCTTCCAGTAGATTTCATAAACTGTTGACCATACTCTCCATACATGGTTGGGTGCGCTCGGAGACGCTTGGTCACCTCACGACATTTGGCAAAAAGGTCATAGCCTTGTCGTATGCGAAACCGGTGCGCATACGACAAAATGTTGTCCTTCATTGTGCCCGCGGCTTGGGCAATATGGCGTGTTCTGCTGCGTTTGGGGTTAAATACATTGGCATTTCGTACGATAAGCTGGATGTCGTCCATAAAGTGCTCGAAGCAAGTGTATTCCTTGTCGTTGAGTTTGTCACGCATCGTGCTCAGGTCCATAGGACGCTTCACAATCAAGTAGTAGTTTGGAACTGCCACGGGATCCACCGGAACGAAGAAAGGTGTGTATTCCTTCTGCGAATAGCAGTACACCAGCACCTGACTTAAGAAGATGCGCAGCTCGCGCAGAAAGTGAAAATCTCGCTCTTTCCTTTTTTGCTGCTCTTCCGGGGTCAGTTTGATCTCAGATGTTGCCAGCGGAAGTGGCGCCAACGGCAACTTCTCGAGCTTTTCACCCTTGGCTCGCTTGGTCGTCGGAATAGATGGGGGCGTCGCAATCGAGCTAAATATCTTTTCGAAATGAGCCAAACGAGCAGCCTTGCTTGGTGCATCTAGCTCCGTTATCACAGATGTCATGGATACGCTCGGATCCTCCCGAAACAGCGCCAACAAATCCTCCGGTAAACACTGCTCGTCACACGAGGACGACGTTGTGCACGCCAAAAACAGGATGGGGAGGTTGGCCCGTGCTTGAAGATTCATGAGCATCATCTTCAAGGTCAAGTGCATGGACTCGCTAGTATTCTTCCACCACAGCTCGATTTGCGGAAGATAGAGCACACAAGGTAAGCACTTCTGGGCCTCGGTGAGTCTCTTGATAAGTGCTTCTTCCGGGAAGTGTGAGTTCGAGTCGGCCACAAGCGAGGGATAGTCCAGCGAAAAGTGAGTCAATCCCTCCAATGCATGCAGCAACGCTGGGCCGATATATTGCTGCCCCATGCCAGCCTTACCTGCAATCAAAACGCGAGGGAATCCTGAGTAGCGAGGCAACTGAAGCGAAGCTATAGACGAGACGCGCTTTTTTTGTGCACGATGTGCTCCTCTTTGCTTTGTAGAATTCGAGCCCCGACAATCGAAGCATAAGAAATCGTTGCCGTTCTCCTCCAGAGTCACAGTCACAGTCATGTCCGAAAGGCATGCGCGATGAAAAGCTCCAGGGCATGCATTACAGCAAATTAGCTCACCCTCGTTTCCATGGCAAACGTCACAATCACCATGGTTCGCAATCGCATAAATGTCAACGTCGTCGTAGCATTCATCTTCGTCATCTTCAGCTTCTAAATCTTCGCCGGCGTCGTCGCCTGTAGCAACGGCGTCATCGATGGATGTTTTATCTAGAGGGAAGAGCGGAAAGTGACGAGATACATCTCGCAACACTTTTGATAGCTGCTGTTGTAACAGCTCTTTGACCACTCGTGGAAGCGGTGACGCAAACGAGCTGACAGTACGATGGGAAGCTGGGGTGATCTTTTTCGCTGCCTTAGCAAAATCGCCGCGAGCTACTAGCACCTTTTCCAGATCAATCAGCAGTTTGTCTTCACATGCGTACACTTGCGGGTAAACGCGACGCAGAGAACACAAAGCCGCCTCCGCGCAAAGCGCTTTGATGTCTGCACCGCAGTAACCTACCGTTTGCTCGGCAAGCTCTGCCAGAAACCTGTCTGACAACGGAGGCTTCCAATGTTTCGAATGAATCGCCAACATGCTCTTCCGCTCATTCACACTCGGCAGCTTGAAGCCAAGTTCTCGGTCAAACCGACCGGGGCGACGCAAAGCAGGGTCGATTGCGTCAAGTCGGTTGGTTGCTCCAATAACAACAACGCGGCCTCGAGAATCCATGCCGTCCATTAGGGCCAGCAATGTCGACACAATAGATGCGTGAATTTGATCTTGCTTGGCACTGCGCACAGGTGCGAGTCCATCGATCTCATCGAAAAATATTATTGAGGGCTGGTTCCGTTTCGCCTCTTCAAACAAAAGTCGTAACTGTCTCTCTGCTTCTCCCACCCACTTACTCAGGCAATCCGCTCCTTTCCGCATGTAGAACGTAACATGCCGCCTACGCCTCTTTTTCTTTTTTCCATGCTGCGCAGGACCCGCTGTCCCTTTCAAGCCACTGGTTTGCTCGTCTTTGACATTCGAAGAGCAAGAATTCGCCAGTGCTCGTGCTAGCAGCGTCTTTCCTGTGCCAGGCGGCCCATAAAACAAAACACCCGACGGTGGCGCCACGTTGTACTTATCGTAAAATTCAGGGTACAACAGCGGCAGCATTACCATTTCTTTTAGCGCTTCAATGTGCGTCTTCAGACCACCCACGCTGTCCCAAGTGATGCTGCGATCCACTTCTACAGGTGTGATATCAGCACGTGAACTCCCGCTTTTCCGACCACCTTTAGAAGACCGCCACGGACTGCTCGTTCGCATCCCACCGTCAGAATCCTCGTCGTCTATGTGCATACCAGAAGATGACGACGAACCAGAAGAAGAGGACGACAGAGAGCGACGGTGCCGATTTCGGTGTCCACGACCATACTTTCCACGGCTTCGACGACGGCGCGAAGGGGGTGATGAATCCATTTCCGGCAGAAAAAGACGTACGTTGCTACCGGATCCATTTGCATTATTTCTTCTAACAGCATGACTAGCTTGACGTTTATGATATGCCGCGTATGCTAGTGTCTCCGGAGAGGCAGCAGTGCCTTCTTCAGCATCCGTCCTAAGGGTTTTCGAACGATCACGAAGCGAATAGCGCCGCGATGGGGCTTCAGATTCGAATACAGGAGTCGAGTCAATCTTTGTTCGGCTGCGAGTGATCATACTGTTGCTAGGAGGTACTTGCCGCCGCTGGCGCAGGTGGTACCTGGTCGAACGTGATGGTCCTTCTTCGTCGTCATCATCACCATTTTCGTCCTCAGAGTTTGCATCGCCGCTTTCGGACTGTGAGTCGTTGTTTTCGCCTTTACCGTCGTGTCCGGCCTTAGTGTTATCGTCTTCCCTGTCTACCTCCAGCTGCAACCACTTTTTCCCGCTAGACTTTCTCTCTCTCTGAGGCGGTGACACACCGTTAATCTCGCTCAATGTGAGACTCTCTCGTGACCGCAGCGAATAGCGTGTCGAGCGCGACCGTCTTTTTAATTCCTGGGCTTTACCTCTTTCCTCACGCTCCTCCTGTTCTTTAATCTTTTTATTGATCTCGCGTATGCTCATTTCCTGATCCAAATGATTTGCTTCTTCCTCGTGCTCTTCGTCATCATCTTCATCGTCTTCATCTTCTTCCTTTTCCTCGCCTGCACGTCGACGCTGCCTCTTAGCACGGCAGCTCCGGTTCCAATCGAGATGTCGTCTGCGTTTCTTGCTGTTCATTGCACGCTCGGACGTCGACGCGCCGTACGTCGAGTGTGAGTTCATAAACACGTCATTGTAAATAGCTTCATCAAAACGCTTGGGTTTGTTGTGTCGCGTGCGTAGAGAATAACGCAAAGACGACGACAGCGACGCACCACTGGCGTCTTCATGACCTGCAGAAATTGGTGGACTGGCAATGTCGAGCTCTGTCTGCAATCGTCGCTATAAAAAGAAGAAGAATAAACTTGTGAGAACCAAGCAACAAAAGCATTAAAAGAAGAAGAAGAAGCAAAAGCGTGCGCACCGAAGAGCGCCTTGTCGTCTTCTTCTCTTTCTCCTCCAGCACGTCCGTGTCTCCGTCCTCCGACTGTATTCAGCACACCAATAGACAGACACAGTCAATGTCTTCTGTCTCTAAAAGATTGGACCATACATTAACCTCATAGTCACTCTTTATACCTCGTCTTCCTCTGTCTCCACTAAACGAGAGCGTAATTCCTGACACTCTGGAGATTCTACGAGGACTGGCGAGGAGTCTGAGCATATAATAACAATACATAATAGAGAGTGAGACTTGAATAACAAGATAGAAAAGTGGTCAATAGAGAAAGAGGAAGAAGAAGAAGAAGAAACGCCACGTCGTACCACTGCTCGCACTTGGAGATGCTGATGCTTGTTCCAAGACGCTGCTCATCCGTTGGTTGGCTCGAAGCTATTTTGTTAAAAAAAAACGTTTGAACGTTTTAAAATGATAAAACAAAAGAAGTTAAATTAAATTAATTTTAGGCTTATATCGTATACAAAGTTATACCGTTACAATAGAATCTTTTATAATCGAGGGCCTTTTTCCACACGATATCACAATCACAGAGGTCTATCTATAATTATCTGGGGGTCTTGAAGCTTGTACCCAGTAGGAATCACGTCTGTTAGCGTAAATACTCAATAATGTGACGCAGCACCTTGCAGAGAGATAGTGTGTATACAAGCTCCTCATGAACAGCAGCTCACCCAGACTAGTCTCAAGGGGTAAAACTATTACTAATTCGAGACTGAGTTATTGTTTAGCTTCTGCCTTCAAGACAGACTTACAAATCCTACATCATTTTTTGTGTAAGGGTGATGGCGAAATCGACGGTTCCTTGTTTCGAACCGACGGGAAAGATTATGCCTGGTTGACACACCATATCTGCAACAGCGAGGCCAAGTTCACCACGCTAAAAGAGCAAGACAAAGGTGGCTGACGGTCACAAGGCCGCGATCAACGATACCCTTGGGACCCCGGGTACTAGCGACCTCTCCATGCGAAGTCAATAGTACATGTGTTAGGCAAGTGACCTTATTCACCCCCAAACACATTATCCAGTAAGAGCTGATCCCAAAAACAAGGCCGCGATCAAAGGTGTGGGGACCATTATCGAGCGAGTAGTTCTACCCAACGGTGACGAACACGATATTGAGATTAAGGATGCACTGTTCACGCCGAAAATGAACAACAACTTACTATCAGTGCCACATAAAAACAAGAGTGGCAAGTTTCAAGTTGTAGCGGAGCTACACAGCTCTTAAGTCAGAGGAAGACTTATTAGGCTGAAAGCCTCTTAGTTCTATAGAGTTAATTAGGAGTGGACGGCTTTAAGCCACTTCGTTCTTAGGAACTAATTAACGACCTTTTCTAGGACCTAGGAGGGACTTCTAATCTACAAGCAATAGCTTAAGGTTAAGAGAACCAACGCACAAAGCGCAAGAGTTTAAATAAATGCTTCCGATTTAAGGAACCAACGCATGAAGTGCACAAGAGAATAAGTCTCAGAGGGACTTGGGATCTTCAATCTCAAAATGAGATATGATGTTATTTATGCATTAAGATTTAATAAATAATCCTACTATGTACCCTACACTAGATTAATTACAATTATTATAATTATAACACTGTATCGGGATATGGAATCATCCAATCGATCAGTGTATGTTGTACTTAGTACTACTGTATCAGTTAAGGAACCGATACCGATAATATAAGGTATTATTAATACCTTATATTATCACTCATATATATTGCCCCTTTTTAGAAGGATCAGTATTAAGAATGCATTATATGCAATATATAAACTTCAACCGTGATGTACTTTCGGTATGATGTTCCAATCGTCGTGTAACCCCGTTACACTCTCCTCCACCAGACTGGCGTTACACATCACGTCAATCGACACATTGCCTCCAAGAGGTTTGCGAAATGTACAAACATCGGACGGTTGTTCAAAGTACCACGACCATGACCACGCCTCGCACGGAGTCCGAGGCTCTTAATATTCTCTTAAAGAAAAGTCTTGAAGACATGGTGGACTACGAGAGCGACACAAACTTAGTGGATGACGAAGAGGCCAAGTCTAGCTCTCCTGTTGTGGATGTTGTCTCTCGTCATGAATTAAACCCATTCCCGAACGTGGTGCCGCTGACACACTAACTTCCATGCGCTTAGCGCCTGGCGAAACGTCCACTTCCACTATCTCGAACCCGCTCGACGAGCAACAGGCACAGAAGTTGCAAACGGAAGCAAGTTCTGCACACCAAGCAAAGTTTATGGCCAAACTCAAAAAGCATCTAGACTATGTATTTTACCCACGATCTATTGACGAGCGTACCAAAAAGGCCACTGGCCATTCGCTATATATATGGTCCATAGGAACGGATGCTACCACGCTCGAGGGGCTCTCCGCGCGAGCGGATCTTGCCTAAAGTACCTAGAGCCAGCCAAGACCACCCCAAGCCAATACAAGGCGCGCCTAGATAGGCAAGCACGGGGTGCTTCTATCCCTCCTATGAAAGGAGTTCCTTTCTTGCTGTTCGCAGGCAAAACTGAAGATGAAATCGATAGCGCCTTTGTCCACTGGGCACATTATGTGCGGCGTTTGAATAGCATGTGGACTTTTGGCGCAAGTGCCAGTGTGGCAGACGTTCGTCTGAAACGGAAGATGCGTTTTGAATACGCCAAATTAAATGCCAGAGGACGATTGCGGAAACAACGAGTGGGCTATGCGCCAGCCATTTAAGATTCCAGTACATCGGCTACGCCTTTAGCCGTGATTTCTCAGCAGTCCCCAGCCGTGAGCTCTCCCACTCCCACCACTATTGGTGGGAAACGCCATCGCCAACAGGTTGGCCCTGCGCACGACTTTTAAAACCGTCCACGGCGTACGAACAACACTGCTGTAAGGGAACCTCGAGCTCCCATGAATTTATACGACTCGGGTATCCACGCCACTTCACCAGATACTGGTTTTGACAATGGCGGTGACGCTTCTGAAGAAGCTGTTTCACATGAAGCTGAATGTCCCCCTGCTCATCGAGCAATGTAGGAGGAGGCCGGTGTACCGGCACAAGTTTATGCCGAGATCCTTCAAGTGGTGAAGTATCTTCGTGAGACTTTGCAGAAGATGAATACTCGCCTCGAGTCGTTTGAGCAGAGTCGAAACCGAGTGGAGGGGCAACTTAATCTTTTGGGGCAGATGATTCGTCCTGCGGCAATGCCGATGAGCTCGGCGCGAGCGCCTTAGTGTTCACTTGGGACGGATCCCGATATGGCTTGAGCATGTCGACGTAGAACACGGGATGTGTACGCAATTTGCGCGGCAAATTGAGCGTATACGCTAAGCCTTTCTTGGACACGATCGTAAAGGGTCCGATGAAGCGCGGACGCAATTTTGTCTTAAAGACAGCAGACACTACATTGTAGGTAGGTTTTTAGCATTAAGTAATACTTGGTCTCCGACCTCATAACAATCAATACAGCTTCTGCCTTTAGCATCCGCATATTCCTTCTGTTTGTGTTGGCTATCAGCCATTGCGTCTTGCTTATGTCGTAAGACATTTAGTCGTGTTGCGACAAACGCGTTCACCTGTTTCTTAACAGTATTAGGGCTGACATCAGCAAGCCGATCTGCAACCTCTCCCCCACCCAAGCCCTGAAACACTCGGTGGTAGCGTTAACGGAACGCGTGGGTGTGTGAGGCCATTCGCATAGAACGGAGTGTAGCCGGTAGAGGCGTGCACGGAATTATTGAGTGCAAACTCAACAACAGGGAGCATAGAGATCCAGCGCTTAGGCGATTTATCACAAACGCTGCGGAGGATATCTTCAATAACGCGAATTAACGCGTTCAGTTTGACCATCGGTCTGCGGATGATCCGCTGTGGACATGTCCATTCGGGTGCCTGGCACCTACAAAAACGGACTTCCAAAGCTTACTCGTAGAACGAGGATCACGGTGAGAAACAATTGCCACTGGCAAGCCATGTTGGCGAAACACTCGATCGATAAACAGCTCCGCTGTACCCACACCATCGATCGAGTTTGGCACAGCCGCTAAGTAAGCCATTTTGCTCAAACGGTCAACAAAGACCACAATACCTGTGTTGCCATGCGAATCTTTCGGTAGTCCAAACACAAAGTCCACACTAATGTACTCCCAGCACCCAGTGGGAATAGGAAAACTAGCCAACGGCGCTGCCGAATGGGGCATACTACCCCATAGGTCTTTTCTCGACCCAAATGACCCCCGATGGCGGTGTCATGTACCTCATAGAGGATACGATACTTCAGGTCCTCGTCATGAGGAACCACAATACGCGGAGGATCCGCCATAGTACAACAGCCTCTGATCGATAGAATATCGATGGAGGATCGCACGTAATCGTGCCGACACTTTAATTTCCGAGTCTTTAAACTCATCACTTCCAAGAGCATGTAGCAACGCTATACAGTGATCATCTTTAGCATACGCCGATCGAATGAGATCAATTATAGAAGACGACAACGTCGTAACATGAGCAAGCTCATAGTCAGGTTTGCGTGACAACGCATCAGCCAAAGCATTTTGCTTGCCCGGCTTATATATATTTCACCTCGAAGTTATATTCAGCAAAGAATGAAAGCCATCTGGCCATTTTCTGCGAGAGATGCGGCGACTGAGTCGCAGTGCGTAAAGACGCATGATCGGTATAGATCACAAAAGGCTTTGAGCCCAGCAGATGAACTCTGAATTTGACTAGAGCATTGTGGTGGAGCAGGGCTCACAAAACTTCTGATGTGATCCCGACTTTCCACTGGCGTTCGGACAGCCGACTATCGGAGGGGGTACTCCGTTTCCGTGCAACTTTCCTTCCTCACCTTGTGTACCCGTCGGTAGGGCGGGTAGCACTCTTCTCGGTGGACTTGAGTTGATGCTGAAGTTGACCGTGCTGAAGTTGACCGTGGTTGGAATTGGTTGGGGGTTTGATCGCGCGGAAATTTTCACGCGATCGAGGGTACTTGGGTTGGGCCACTCTATATGAGTCGCCCTGATCTCTCTTGAGATCGCCTTGTCCAAAAATGTAGATACTTAATCCACTTGATACACTTGACCTTCTAACCACTTGATCTGTCTCGCGATCTTGTACCTTGTCCTTTTCTTGTTATGCTGCGTCCAATCGCAGGCGAAGTTTGTTTATGAGAATTATTGTAATCCCTGGCCAAACAATCCAGGGATATCACTTGTGTCGTAGCGTCGCAGATGATCTTGAGCCGTTGGGGGGGGGCCAAGTTATCCCACCCGAAAGAGAAGCTTGCGTGTCTTAGAAGTAAATCGAACTCTGTTTAATGTTAACCAATCACATACCAAAACCTACGATGCTGCCTATTTATATACCAGGGTC